GTCAGAACAGTAAATGCGATAAAGTTAAACAACCGGACGGGAAAATGGCTGATCACAACGTATTTATGACCACAGCTCGAAAACACTTCCTGCTAGTTCCCTCAGGTCACATGAACTGTCCACCTGCTGCACTCTTTCGTTCTTTTCGGAAATCTTCCATTAAGAATAATCTTTCTCGACGTATGCGTAAACACTTGGAGTTTTTGGTTAAAGTTATTGGTCAAGTGAAAAAGAGGGTGTCAGGTTTCTGTCGGCAAAATATATGCTATGCTTTTTCTTATTTTTGTCCTGAACAAAACTGATGTTTTACCCTACTTAAATGTGTGAGGATACAGGAGGCCAGGTAACAAGCGATGATTCTTCCAACAAGGTTGGCAGGCAGATAGAAGCCAACCTGTGAAGGCGAGCTTGGCGTGGCAATGGCCTCAGCCTCAGGGGTTCCTCCGTCGCGTCGCATCTGACGCAGCATTTACCAAAACCCCTGAACTCATGTAGCCAGGGCCGTAGTAACACGCCTCCTAACGCCCCGCTGGCAAAAATCAAAGGAAAGGGGGGACTTGGATGTCACAAGCGAGTGTAACAACACTTGTGGCAGTTGACCCCGACTCACCGAAAGCAGACCACGCAGTCGTGAAAGGTGGTCAAACCTGTGGCTTTTGCAATGCTTCGGTACCAGGATCAAGGGGCCTTCGCATGAAGCAACTTGGCTGGAATGGGCGCAGTGTGACTATGATAAGTGTGCCATATCCATACTTCAACTTCATGACGAAGCACTTACGTTGTTGGATGTGGTACACATTTCCAGGAGGTCAAAAATTGCCTGTCGTAACCACCATCAAACCAAGAAATCTGGTGCAATCTAAGGCATCGCGAGATACGAGCTCCAAAAGTTTGACTCCGGAAATGGAGCGGGCTTCACGTACGCCCAGTCCACAACTGCGGGAAAATGTCCCCCATAGACATAGGAACCCACCGGTTTCTACCACATATGAGGCTTCTATGAGGTCCTCACCTCTTGTGTCGAAACGACACACATGAGCTAGAGAAGTGAAGGGACCTGAAGAACGAGGTTGTGTCGAGGACAGATAGATGTAAGTGAAAAAGGAAAAGGTGTGCAAAAACTGTTGGCCGCCAAACTCGCCACTCTACGCTCATGGGGTGGGAGAATGGACCCCATCATCTTGTCTTCATGCCAGCAGACCTACGTTTAGAAAAAAGATCAGTCCGGTGAGGGAAAGTGGGGTGACCAGTGGAAATAGCCAGGTATGTAACGCGTTGCAGTGGGCTTGTGCCGGCTCCTTCAGAGTAGCAGAGTACCTCGAAATAAGCTGCCGCACCTTAGGGGGTCGCCGGTGACAGCAAACTGGTCAGAGGCCGTGCTGCTGCAGTCTCGCTTACCAGGCATTGCAGGCCACTGCTACACAAGAACGAAGTCAGATAATCAATGGACCGCCAAAGGGGTGGAAAGATCGTCAGCTCCTAGTGACTTGCACTGGGCTGCAGTCATTATCATGCGTGGAACACCCAAACTGTTGACAGTGACCAAAAAGGTGCCGGTCACCTACATGACATCTGGCAGTGATGGCTGCTGAAAATATGAGGCCGGAAAGCCTCCCAGTCAGGAACGCAGAAAGACCATCAAGACCTACCCACTTACAGAGTATCCCTACATCCAGGTTGCTACCTGTACGCATTGGCAGTACGGGATCACTCGCAGGGGCCCATGCACCAATGTATCAGGTGAATGGTCAAATAGGGGGAGCCATACGATTCTGAGGATACAAAACAACGGTCCGCTAGACGAAGAAGCGGACAAACCCCAAGTCAGTCGCAGTCAGTAATAGAAGAACTGCCTCGTGCACTAAGGCCTGTAGAAACATTGATAAGCACTCCCGCCACACTAACACCTGGATGCCGGGAAGGACTGATGCACGCAGGCTGGCAGCCAGCATCGTATGCAAGGCACAGTTACCTCCACACAGGTCACTGTGACATACCAGGCCCACGGCGCAGCCTCTTCTACAGTAGTGCAAGAGGTCTTGTGAGTGAACTACTGGAGCCAAGAGCAGTATGGTCTCGTCTGCATGCGGATGGAATCTTCATTACCGAGGCGGCTATCACCGGGCAACTTCTGCACCTGATATGACTTTATTCGGAAATGATAGATTTTGAAAAAGGAGACGTCGCTAAATATATATCAATACATATGTAGAGGTCAAGGTGCTGACTGACAATACATTCAGCTAATTACCACATTCCCTGTGGCTCTGTTTCACCATAAATCAAGGAAGCAACTTACTATGAGTAATATAAGGGCCGCTGCTTTGCGCAAAGCAGCATAATGAACAAAGGCCTATCGCGATTCTGGCATCAACCCTAGCAGTCCCCAACCACACGGCCCTTTCTGTAGAACTTAACACACCGACACCCAAAACGGGATTAGAAGCATATATACGTTTTTCTAACCAAAAATTTGGCTAACGACACTTGTGTTCGACCTTCCTAAGCCCAAGTTACCATGAGCTGATGATAACGATGCGATGACGATGACCAAGAAGAAACTGCTTGCTGTTCAACCAGAAGTGTCCCACTGTTGCCTAGAGTAAGCCGCAAGGTCACGTAGTAGGAACCCATGAATGCAATGAGAACGACACACTCCATCGACAGACGGGGAGTGAATACACATATAAGACATTACCTGGAGCGCCATTGAAGCGGGTGTCCCGAAGGAAAGAAGATGGCTTGTGCAATTTGAAAGGAACTACAGAGGAAAAAGGAAGCGCATTATAGACAGCGAACACCTCATAAACGTCCGATTTCTTCTCGTTATGGATTGCACAGCCTACATAGTACAGGTATTCGTAACAACAGAAGCAAATACCAGACTGACTTGACCGAACAACCCGGATGAAAACCAAAAAGCCCATATTGGTTTGTGCCACATCGAAAACTGACGAAAAAGGGTCTAATCCTCATCACACGGCTGATTAGAGAAGAGTTGAGTAGACACGAAGCAGAGGTACTCACAACCAGCTGATTTGACGAGCAGCTGAACGCAGTGATGCACCCATCAACGACTTCCAGCAATGTAGCGAAGTTCCAGGACTGCAATTTAAATGTGGCGATCCTAAAAATTCTCCCAAACCAGGTGTTTGCGAGACTTTCAGTCCACAGAATATGGAAATCGCCGGGTTGAGAGCGGGTAAGACTGGCGGTCCCCAGGAGTTTTCCGAAGCGCTGAGCTTGTTCACGTACACTTTACGCACGCGCCTGTTGTAGGTCGGAGAATGCAAACGTGTTAACCTTTCACCGACCATCAGGGGAGGACAACAACAGAGCCCAGACAGTTACAGACCCATGGCGTTAACTCCCATGCTATCCACAGGGTTTTGAACCTGGTTGCAGACTTTACTTGGGGCTGCCTAAATGGAAACTGCACCCCTCATCCCACCAGATGTGGCTTCAGAACCGGATGGCCATGTGCCACAAACTTAGTAACCACCTGTGATAACTGCACCAACAGAAGGGAAGATGGGCAAACGGTTCACGTCATCTTCCTGGACTTGGCCAAAGCTTTTGATAACATCTTCTACCACATCACACTAGCCAAACTTGCAATGGTGGGTATTAGTGAACCACTCATGGCATGATTTGAAGCATGTTTAGTGCAAAGAGGATTCTGTACCAAGGCAAGGGGAGCAAATCCAGCCTGAAAGGATGCGAGAACAGGAGTATCTCGAGGAGCAATGTTTGGGGCACCCCCACTTACTCGCTCAGCATGAGCTAAGGAAGGGAAAGGGGTTTGAAGATCATCCATCAAGTAGCTCAAATCAAAGGGGCAACATAATCGCCCAAAAATCAACAGGTTTGAATGAACACTTTTGTCTTACCCTGCCGTGGACAAGGACAGGGGTAAGATCTCACTCCTACTCAAGCAGGCTATGCGCCTTTCGGAAAGCTCTATCAAGATGAGTGGCCTCAGCCACATCAGTTGACCCCCTCTTGACGGCCGCTCCATGAGTATGTGAGTGCAAACGGTTTGCTACCAACATTCGCCAATAGCAAGTGGAGGTTAGCTCATTCATCCCTGTACCGCACAACCCATGTATCTGTAATAAGGCCAACCCCCCTCCATATTATGACCAGTAACAACTTTTCTTTCTTGTGTACTTTCCGATTCTCTTTTCTCATTCCCTACTTACCACATTTCTCAAGCTACCATTAAAATAACGCTTAATACTTGCTTAAAGGTACTTGAAGAAGTGGGAGCTGCAAAAGGTTAAGTGATCTTATCAGCAGCCCTGTCGCTCCACCAAACAAACAAAACTACAATTTGTCCAAAAACACCTTCAAGTATACACTTTTTACCTCTAAAGCTATAAGCAAGTAAGCAGCAGAAACTTCGCAGCCACAGAAGGAGTGTAACTGAAAGAACAAAATTGGCCGCTGGACCAAGAAGAGAGAGCTTAAGAAATGCAGGTCTTCTCTACTCGGACTACTATTGTTAGATATCGAAGATTAAATACCTGCAAACTTAGAAAACAAGGCCTATATCTCACAGTGATTGTCAGTCATACTTTAGGATTGTCCTGGTGCCAACTTGACAGACGCAAAGACCAATCACTAATTATTCGGACTTGTTATATACCCACGAGTACGAGACCAAGAAGAACACGATAGCGTAGTCGGGTGGAATGGTATATTTGGTTGGTTGCGCCAAGATAGTGATGCGTTCCAACTGACTGGCTAGAGCGTCGAATACGAGCAATGCAACGTGACACGACAGCATGCCAAATGGCGAGGATGCTTGACCGTGTGCCTTCAGCTTAGCGAGTCCAGTTAAACTACCGAGTTCAGCACCAATGTTGAATGTCGTCGAATCCTAGGCTGTCGATTTTGAGGAAGTGTGTGAAGGTACAATATCTTTGGCATCTTAGGGGTCGGAAAAAGTTGGAAAGCTGATTTTAGGGACTAATAAATTGAAATGAAGCTTATAAAATCAGCTGAATTATCTCTGCGACCTTAAAGTTTGTTGGGAAAAACGATTGATTTCGCGGTGTATTAAAATGAAGGTAAAGCGTGTGAAGAGCTATCGGAAATTAATTGACGTATATGACGTCCATTTTGGTCTTGAAACTCATCCACTTGAAATATTAGTGGACAGCACGTTTGCTCGACAGGCGTTAGTACAACAACTTCACATAGAACAGCAATTTCGGTGTACATTAACGTGCGAATTTACTCTCGTGACGACATCTTGTATAATTTCGGAGTGTGAAAGTTTGGGTCCGTTGTTCAGTGGAGCACTGAATATTATTCAGGGATATAAAGTTTTGAAATGCGTACACAAAGTCAACCCTAAGAATTCTGCATTTTCTTGCATCAAGAGAAGAATTCGAACAGCTGGATCAAGAAAGTTGTCTGAAACTAAGGCCAAGAAGCGTAGTTTATTATTTGCTTTGGCTAGTAATGACGATTCTTTACAGCAATATGCTCGAAAAATTCCGGGTATGCCCGTATTTTTCATCGCACACAAACGGATCAACATGGAAACCATGCCCGAATCAGTTTCCTTATTACTTCAAGCAAAAGCTGTGCAGGCACCTGATTTGACTCATGTGGAGGTGAGTTATGCAGTGTAGAAATTTTAAATGTAAGTTTTTGTAGAATGTAGTGGAGGCTTCTGAACACCTTTTTTGGTTTTAAAGCAGCTTCCATAGATCCTTTATTGTAGTAATATATTTTAGGTCATGGGTACACGTTTCAGGACTGATCATACATTTTTCCATTACCGTTCAGGTCGGACTTTTCTTATTTTCCAAATACTTTCATTCATCTTTACAGCTAAATCTTTCTTGAGAATTTCCTAGTATCACAGTTAACATACTGGACATACCGACTTAAACTAAAGTGCTGTATTAGTGGTTTAAGTAGTCATCTTTTTATCGCTTCTGTTCAGATACTATCTCCTTTATTTACTAGCATTGCATTTGCTATACGAACCCACGTACCCCGTATGTAGTTCAGTAGTTATTGTTCATGTGCCAGGATGACATCAATAGTTGCTGTTCGACACCGAAATTGACGCAACAACTTAATGTGGCGACATATGAAGACCTACTGGAAGGCAAGTGATTTCCATGATACTCAACCTTCCTGGTCATTGAAAACAGTTGATGAGGTTGAATGACAGTTAACCAACCAATGACATGGCTTAACTACACATCAGAAAGCAAGGCATTGGGAAAAAATGGTGAGAAGTACAGAAACATTATAGTCAATGTCGTATAAAGTCATAAAAAACAGGCAAGGCAGAACAATAATGAAATTAGGGCAGCGTGTGGACGCAGTTGCGCCTTAAGTCTATTTTGAGACATACTAGTTAGAGCTCCTAATCAGTGATTTTGGTTATCACGTAATTGCCTGCTTGAAAGTTTACATTTCACCGCATAGCTCAGACTGACTATCAGCGGCTTTATTCACCACCTTCCAGCCCAAACGTACTTCAGCTAACGTTGCGTGACTAGGCATTCACCACACTAGTTCCAGCCATCTGAGTTCATGAAGGTTTATCGACGTAGAACTGGTCTGACTCCCCAAGTAACTGAAGTCGCTAACGTGCCCAAACACTGCACTCATCAATTAAGCTCTAAATGCAGACCATTCACGAAGCAACAAAATGCATTTGGATTGTGAAAATTCCATCCCAAATCGTCACTCAACGTGTCCAGAAGACCTCACACCTATCACCGTCTTCACGGAACAAGACTATATTGTTGCGTACTCTACGTTGAATAAATTGTGGCAAGATTCGTCCGTGTATAGCTAGATTGGAAGAAGGGAAATTCCATGAGCACTTCTATGAAAAAGTTAAAATGGACGTCACTCAACGTACACAACTCACTTAGTACCTCTTCATAGGCTCTAACATTCTCAAGGGTATCCGATTATGAAGCCTTTAGTAGTGATGTATTTCATCCGACACCCCCTAGGTGAGAGATACTGCTGTAAAACCTCTCAGTTGACGAAGTCTGGAGTGCCACCTTCACGCCAAGAAACAACCGGGATCAGGTGCCAGTGAAGGCAACTGTGTTCCAGGAACCGATGGAGAGTGAAGATGGGGCTGATACATATATGACCTTATCTGAGATATGCCTGGTTTCTGAAGCTTCATATAAGCGTTTATTGACTATGGAGCTTATTACCTAGGATATTATGTTCTTTAGACTGATTCCTTTGTGGTTACCACAGTAGGCTTTCCTTGATTCAAGTTATCTACAGTCGTCTCAACTTATAAAAGAGTTGGAGAGCTATCTCAGTGTTCAACTCAGGAAGGAGTTTGAAAGTGGAAAACTGAGGAGTGACTTGAGGTTACTTAAGTTACTTTTCTGAAAGGCTCTGGCTATCGATGCATTCGTGTACTCTGCGTGAATATCATACCTTTTTTTTAAAGGTACTTGCATGTATTTTACACCAGTCTACATTTGTTCTGCTTCCGATCTTCATTTTTATCGGAGCCTACACGAGTGTGTTCACATACACCTATTAATTCGGATAAGCCATTGAACGTACTGACGTTTTCTAACCTTTTCTTGAAGGTCACTGACAGTCTTTATGGTCGCTTTTATAGCAGACTAACAATAGTTCGAGGTTTCTTTAGGAATAGCGACTGTAATGTTTAAGTAGCTGTTTTTAGCAGTTCCTCTTCGGAAAAAACGTTGCATTCCTCATCATCAAGCTTAGCTCGGAACTGTTTACTGGTTGGTTTTGGGTGCACAAGTGTATGAAACCCTTGACTTTTATGGTGAGCTTATGAGGCCAGGTGTAGATGGCTTCCTGGAGATAGTGGGAAGAAATTGTTGGAAACCTGTTGAGGTTTGACCACAATGACTCATATTTATTCACTGTTTGACGTCTTCAAATGTTTGGACATTTTCACTAGTCTTTATTTCTCGGATTCTTTCTTCTCCCACACAATGTTGTCTATTTTGATTTCACTGTTATTCTACCCTTTTGTTCTTTGCATGTTACCGCTGCGAGTTGTGGCAATTCGAATCGATGAACGTTTGTGCGAAGTTCTACATCTATACTGTCTGTCTGCCATTGGGCTATATCTGAACCAGTGCTTGATCACTGTCCAAGTACATGCTACTGATAACGATGTAGTTTATATGTATCTACCTTTGAGTTGAGGTTGGTAGTCGCTAGATCAAACAGTCTCCCTTTTTATGCTTGGAATTCGTTCTGGTTAGAAAACGATGGTTGTGTGGGTACAGTTATGGCAAATGATTGCAATTACCTTTCCTTCGGTGGGTCTTCTGACAGTACCTTAACAAGTGTCCCCATAGTATTGCTCACGTATATTGAGGTCATCGTGTAAGTTATGTTGAGGTCAAGCGAAGGGTAGCAGATAAGATAAACAAGTTAATTGATGAAGTTGTGAACCGTAGTCAAATGAGATGGCTTGGTCATGTGTTGCGCATGTCGAGTCACCTTCTACCGTGACGTGCAGTGACAACAAGGGAAGTTGGAAGAGGGTTCAGGGTGGTGAGAAAAAGATGCGGTACCAGTCTATGAAGTCCCTTACTGTTCGTCTGAGACGTGGAGAAATGTAGATTGCTTGCCTCGGTCTCCAAGATAATAGGAACCAGTAGTTGAGGTCTCGTGGTGATATTAGTTGAAAACTGGTCACCATGGTAATGTATTCACTCTTTGATTTCTTCTAAAGCTTGAATATTTGCGCTAACCCTTGTCTTCAAATTGCTTATTCTCTCACATAACCTTGTTTATCTTACTGTCGCTCTTTCTTTCCTTTTTCATACTATTGTGAAATTTGGCAACCTAAACTGATGCACTTGGGCACGAGGTTCTACCTTGATTCTGTGTGTCTCACATTGACGATATGAATAGCTAAACTCGGGTCTTGTAAGCGTGTCTCGGGAAACTTAACTGTGTTTACTTAATAATGCTTTTTGATCATTTGATTAATATAGTAATAATGGATAGTGGCTAGCAGTGGAATCTAGAATGCGTATAATACAAAAATAACACTATTTGAGTAATAGTTTATTCTGTTATCAGTAAGCTATAAGTTTCAATCCTTATTAAGCTGAGCGTAGTCAATATTAAACTGCAATCCTAATAAGTTCAGAATTGTTAATGAACATGTATTTCTTTACCTTATTATTGTTCGTTTTACTACACACTGACTCATTACTCGCTTACTAACACATATCACTTACTGAAAACATTTCTGTCCGTCTGAAAAAAAAAGCGTTTATTCATCGTTTTTCTCCACACTGCCAACTGCTGATCAAGCACCGAGTAATGTGAAACAAACGATAGGAATAATCAGTAACTTCGTATTCCGCTATTCATCATGCTTATAATAGTCAGAGGATACATGTGTCATTAATTTGGCGCCATGTAGATTCAAACTAGTGCATTATAAGTGTCAGGATAACAAAAATCTTCGGTTAAAAAGTTACACCCACCTTTTTGTAATCCTTACGGTCTCTTACATCTGATACGATTGTATCAAAAGTGACTGCATATGTACTATATTCGTATTTATTTCAATCCGGATCGACGAAGACATGCTTGGTGATAGCGATTTTTTGAGACCAGCAGAGATGAAGCATGGTCTACTAATTATGATTATGCCTCTACACCATGTCATTTAAATGCATAACTACTTGGTTAGCTCAAACCAAGTTTTCCCGCTGCTGGAAGCTAAAATTTTCAATTTTCTGAACTGGGTAAAATTCTACACAGTCAGGCTTTAAATCAATAGAACAGACAGTCATGTGATAAAGTGAGTTGGTTTCATCAGTTCTAGTCGCAAATGTAGGTCTAAAAAAGCAATAACCTGGATATGGTACTTAAATCCCAACATAGATTGGAAGCGAAATTTACTGTTTTAGAAATAAAATGACGATGTAAAAACCTACATAAAGGGTTAAATACCCGGCAACAAGATAGTATCGTTTGCTAATGATAATACCACTAGTTGGGAAATTTGGTGGTTAGCGTAAGTGAGGACAGCTGTCAAAATATGTTTCCTATGACAATGTTATTCCCTGTAAGTTCGGACAAGAAAAGAAAACCTGCATAAGGATGTGCATGACAATTCAGTAATAGAGAGAGTGGACACTTGTGACGGACACCAATCGACATACACAACTGATTTGATACCTCCCCTCTGAAACTCCCACTAACATTTGATTATAAAGCATTTACAAAGGTGACGTACTTATACAACACCCCTTTCATCGAATGACTCTACTATGAGACCTATTCATCAACAAAATCAACTGCTACCTTCCGGTGAGAAAATGCAACTAGTACCGGGCACTGGTAAATATGCCCGTGTCCTAGGGCCGTAGCGGAGGGTAAAGATCTAATAAACACACGACCAAGTCAATGTCGTCAGTTTCCAGGTGTTTAATAATTCTAAAACCAAAGATCTCATGCACTATATCTGTCAGACTGATTGGCCTGTGAATGCTTTCTTTCTCTTCTTGAAAACTGGAACAATCCGTGATTGAGATCGGTTGTAAGGTATCCGTACATGACTCCCACACAAGCCAATACTTACGTTAATCTAACCGCTAACACAACTACTGTCCTAAAATACCTCCGGTACTATCGCATCCACCGTTTGTCATCTCACTTTATATACAAACTTATCTATCGACTAAGCGAAAAGAATCTGAAAGACCATGCAACTCATTCGTTTGAGATGACAGCAGACATGACTCAGAATCGAAACCACTTGTGACCAAGCTGCCTTTTCATTATCGAGAAGGAAAGGGAAAATGCTAATTGATGCACCTTTGTTCGTTTGTTTATCAATTGCTCCCCTAGTGATCAATTCATATTTTCGTCTCCGTTGCCTGTCTTCTTAGTGTTGTTCGGTTATTCAGTATGGTGCCCATGTTGTACCAATTTGACGTTGTAAATCAATAAAATAACAACTAAGCCGTAACATAATTTTACACTGTAATCAGCCAAGACTTCCGAAAAGATTTAAGTCTAGTCACCATAATTTTGTTTACCCATTTGTTACAGCACTGACAACACTAAATCAAGTAACCCAAATACTTCGTTTAGCATCTTAAATTTCCGAAGCTGGAAAGTTCTACACCTGAATGAGCGTTTAATGCACTCTTGAGTTAAGTAAAACAATGCATTTACCTTCCCATCCAGGTCATGTGAATGATAAAGCCAACCATACTGGTTATTGGAACATCCTGGATTTCGTTAGCAAAGTATTTCGGACCTTTAATATTAATCGCTCAAATGTATCAAGATGGATAGCCAATGCGACTGTAACTGATAAGGATGCAAGGAAAGACTTTTAGTACATTTTTCTGAGAAATCGTTAAATTGGACACCTGTCGTAGGTTAAATTTTGTGTTCCGTCTCATTATGGGTGTTTATCGATACCATAACAACTTAAAGCTAGATAAAGAACCAAAAGTGTCACTATGAATAACTGTTTGTGAAGTATATTCTAAGAATATCGTGTATGGCCTAAAAGTTCTGTGGAACTTTACCGACTATTTTAAAAGCCAAGTACTTAGGTCTGGTATCCCAAATAAACATTTTGAAAAATAGCTCATTGAGCCCACACTTTATACCTCAGTGTCTCAAGTGATATAAGACCCAATCAAGTATCGTCAGCGTCCAGCTTTATCTACTCGGAAACTATTTCAATGATAGTAGGATGGTTAGAGTGTATTACTGTGTATACTTTGTTGAAGTTCGTTATACAGAAGCTTGCGAAACATTGCAAATTACAAGATTATCAGTGAGTCCTAAGCGTTAACACGTACTAAAGCTTTCTCATTATTCTAAAAAGCAGGTTATCTTAAAGAATATAATCTGTTGTTTGGAATTAGAATACGCAGAAAAAGATTCGTTGTGCTCTATTCTAACTTTCTATCGGCTGTTTTTATTTTTAGAGCAATAAAATCAAGCAACTAGGTGACATGTTCGGTTTCTCTGAAGAAACCCATACACGTAAAAAGAAAACCAAAAGACCCAACCCGCTGTCTTGTAAACGGAAATCACTTAAGAATAATGCGGTAATTACGAAGAAGGCCAAGCGCAAGCGTAAACGAAAGCGCATCAAAGTAACGTGGGCAATGAAACAAGCAATAGAACAACTAAAGTTAGGACTGAAAGACTGAAACCAGTTGTTACATCTACAAAATTATTTCATATTGTAAGAATACATGCTTCCCCTATTTTTTGTTCCCATCATATTTGTTGCCAGCTACCATAATAGAAAAAAACAATGAGTGATATCTTGCTTAAATTAAAGCTAAACACTGCAGAGCGTAGCTTCAAGATACAAAATGCAGTAACCTAAGATTTTATTATGGACAAATATCTCATAAAATAACTATACAATATTGTACAATTTAAATACAGTATTTCAATTAGCTTATGTACATCGCAGACTAATTTACTGACTGATTAACAGATCAGGTATCTTTAGAACACGTTAAGTTGGACACCACTCTTTGTAACTTAATCACCTGCGCATTGGCACTGGATATGTGGTTGGGCATGAGTCGTACAGCGTTTCCAACTCGAATAGCATTAGAGGGTACGGGCAATGTTGGTGCGGGTTGAGGGTTGGGTTGATTAACCATATCATTGTTTATGTAATTCGCTTCCGGATTAATCAACCGTATAATGGGAGTTGTCTTGTTGGCGTCACAGTTAATCATTCTTATCACAGGAATGCTTGTCCCGCACCTAATGCCATTAACTGAAGGTCGAGGGAGCTGAGTGAAGTGTTTAACAGTTGTTATCGTATTCCGTAATCCTGAATCAGGTGATGGACTTTGTGTGTTTGTGACTGTAGAGGTTGGTTTCATAACTATGCCCACAGGAACTGGATTGCTGATTAGTGATGACGGACATGCAACTGTAGATTCAGCTGTTGGTTCAGGTTGTCGAACTCGATTTGTTTCATAGGGTGTAGAGGCGTGAGAAATGTCTGAGGGCTTTTGCAATCGACAAACCATTCGCGCAAATTGTGGCGGTGGTATAACTGGATGGGTGAATCGTTGTTGATATACCTCACCTGCAAGAAGAATACAGTAATGATAATTGTTTATTCTTTAGCAAATAGTATATATTGATACTGAGTAATTACTGAAGGCGATAGGAAAATTAGGCCCGCAGCAGGATTCGGACCAGCAACCACCGGGTCCCTCCCTAGCCCAGTGCTCTACCAACTTAGTTAAACAACCCAACTGCTGACCAGATTTTCATTTCACTTCAATCACCATGCCATGTGGATTCGCGACACGTTATTATCGCTCGGACATGCTCAAACTGACCAGCCAGTCAAAGTCTACCTGAATTAGAGAGCACCATTTCATTAGTTATCCGTCTAACTACCTAAGATGATGATGAAGGTAAAATGTAAATCAGAGTCACTACAGAGTTTGAACTGGAGGCCACCTAACTTGAATTCTGCCGCGGCCCAGATTTTCACCTCAACTCCAATCACCACCCAGTATTAATATAAGTCTGCGAAACCACGGGTTTCTCAGATAGTCAAATTGATAAATAATAATATAACAATCATCATCATCATCAATATCAACATAGGACCAGGCATTACTGCCTAACGGTCCGAGTTGCCACACCTCATATCAGTACATCAAGTAAAAAGGCAGTGAAGTACAAGATGAAGACAAGAAAGTTCAGTCAGAAGAAATATAAAGTACTAAAAGAGAGGAAAGAAGAATGAGAAAATGGTGAGATCGGGTGTAGCATCGTTAAAATGAGGATAATGTGTGTATCCATCCGCGCCACTGACATCGGTCCCGAGCCATATCACCTAGAGCCCCTAACCACATTGTGTGACGAGGCGATCGGCGACTAGGCATACGTAACATGTGTCCTAACCATCTCAGTCGACGAAGGTTCATAACCTCGTCAACCAACTTACCTCTTCTCCCTATAACTCTTCACCTAATTTCTGCATCACTCACTTGGTGATATGGAGGAATATGGCCCATACTTCGAAGGCAACGGTGGTCAAACACTTCAAACCTTGTCATGCCTTCCACCTTCAATGGCCATGTTTCACAGCCATACAGTAGAACAGACCGGACTGCTGTGAAGCATACTCGACTCTTAATATACAATCGATATCACGGCGGCGCTACAGGTGACGAAAGCCAAACGAGTCTTTTGTATCCGTGCAGAGATTCCATCGGTCACAGCCACCAGGACTGATCCTACTTCCCAGGTAAGTGAAGTGGTCAACACACTCAATCACTACACTCTCTACTGTTAGCCAAGGGACTGTTGAAGACCAATCCTGGAGCAACAATTTGCAGTTGGGTGGTGAGAAACGCATCCCAAACAAACAAAAGCTTTGTATTCTGTATCAATAAGAAGTATCTTGTGGCTCAACGTACAAATGAAGTGATTTAAATATATCTTGACAATTTTTACTTGTCAAAAACATTTACGGGAACTAAGGTTTCGAAGGCCGCTGGCAAAGATATTCTTGAAAGTTTAATTTAAAACCTCTAAAATGTTGTACCAGAGTGTGATTCTTACCTGTAGGTGTCTTCATCTGACGAGTAATTACAAATACTGGTTGACCCGTTGGGACTAATACTTGCTTTGCTGTTAAATTTATATGGCTTCCATCAGGAATGGATTGAACGGGAATCACAGGTTCCGGAGGATGCTGAATACAGGGAGCTGTTGGGCTCAACAAACGAAACGGTATACTGGGTGGTGTTTGGTATTTAGTTCGTAGATGCAGTATGGGTGGAGTGGTATTTATCGGTACGAAACTTCTTGCACCACATAACGTACCAGTTGTTACAGAGGATGGTTCCGAACCCTGCATGACAAACAAACACAAATATGATGAGGTAGGAAAGATGTTCTAACTTAACTGTAGTCAGTAAGTGGGTTTACTTATAAAAAGAATCCTTTAGGATCCACCGTCAAAGCAAGCTGGTTGATCAGATTATATACTGTAAAGCAGGGTGACTGATTTTTGTGTTGTGTTCTCCAAGCTGGATGGCTTCATCGTGAATTTTTCAGTATCATAATCACTAACATCAGAAAACCACTAAATTCATTCCTATGATTCACAAATGTTTTCTATCACCTCAAATGATGAGAGACTATGTCCGTTGTTAATGTATCATGTAAGGCGAATTATCGGTACGTAAGTCCACGGTTATTATTTTACAAAAAGTAAACTGATAAAAGTTTAAGCCTTTATCCAGTGAAGTGGGAACTGCATGCACCTGGGTGAAACTCCTGCTACACCCTAAGAAAAACATAAGTTATAGGATGGATAAACACTAGGATCTTATTTCGTGATGCTGTTCTATATCAATAATTTGAATCACTGACGTGAGCATTGTGGTAGAGTACAATTCCACATTAAATTAATTTCACTACATGCTAAATCAAATAAGCTAGTCAAATATTCGGTAACGCAAACTGTTTAACGAAAGTTTAAACACCGCATATCATAAATAATCTACAAAGTGGAATAGCCCGAGAAGAATTTCGTCATCTGACTACATCGACGGTAAGTGCTTATATTGTGTCACCGTTTCATAAGATATAGACCAAAGTATTACAGTGTCCGTACCATTTCTAATCACATATGTAGGGTGGAATATGCTGCGCTGTGTTGCACTACAACTATTGCGAAGTCTGATCATTGTAAAACCTGCGAAGAATACGAGTACAGTTACAGAAATACCCCTCGTGTATGACAACCACTGTGAGAGTAAAGCTGCTTACAAATGAAGTAACGTAGACCACGGTAAATTAATTAGTGAATAAATGAACCTCCATTGATTGAATCGGTTGAGATATTTGCTACTTGTGCATGTCAAGACAGTGAGCTGAAATCAACGCAGAACCTCACACAAACGTTCATCGGTTCGAATTGTCACAACAACAAAGAACAAAAAGGTAGAATAGTATTGATATCAAAATAGACAACAGAGTACGGGAGGAGAAATAAAGATGAGTGAAAATGTTCGAGCACTCGAAGATGGTAAAGAGTGATTAAATTTCAAACACGTCAGAGAGAGTTTCCAAGCCTTCCTTCCTATTATCTTGAAGACTCCAAGTCTACACTTCCATATGCCACTCAGACTTGATCAACTGGCGCTTCGTCTTAGTCCGACGAACCTTAGCATGCACTCGACCCAATCCAAACTTAAAATGGGGCTGTACAGTGTGAGAGGCACTTCGACATGGGCAACATATTTACAATCCACCTAAGTAGCTGAAGGTTCACACATTTGGCCTAATGCAACTCCTCAAGTAGGTAAAGTGGTCAACCCAACCCAACCCATTCAACCACTTCACTCCCTATCCTTAAACTGGAAGTAGTTGTAGGCCTGTCATGAAGCACTGTCTTACATCTGACAAATACGAAATGCATGCCAAACATAGGCATTTCTGCTTAAGGTGTGATTTTGTCAGCATCTTCACGTAACGGAATAATATCAACTGCGTACCTCAAATCGACCAATTGACCTCGAGGGAGTAGATCAATCCCTGTAAAATCGAAGTTAGCTGGGAACATTCACGTTATTGCATTGATAACAAAATGAAACAGGAACGATGACAGTGAGCATCCCTAGCCGACATCACTAGTTATCATTAATTCTGATGACAACTATTCTCATAAGCCCTTTCACGACTGTGAATTTACGTAGACAGCTTTAATTAGCGTTAAATACTTAACATTGTTTTGTTACACTGGTTTTTCCTGATGTTTGTTTCCTTTTACTCCTCACTCAACATATAGTAAGTTGAATGGATACAAAAATGTATCAGATGTTAGGTTGTTTCCGTACACTAATTAGTCAGTATATCTATGACATTATTCCTCGTGAATAACAGAATTAGCTGGAATTGGGTTGAGTAGGTGATTGTAACTAAGTAACAAAAACGATGAACTCACAGCAATAGAGGAGGGTATCCGTTCAGAGGAGCTACCTATCGGAACATTGTATTCCATATCTGATAGAGAGTAGCTGGACTTTTGACTTGAAGACAACTCATTAGAATTACTGGCTTCAACGACCTCCTCATGAACCACATTTTCAGGGTTGTAGTGATAAGAAGAAATGGCAGGATTAGGTGCATCAAAACGCAGCATTTTATCAGGAATATTGGGTTTTATAACTGAACTATCAGTTCTCTTCTGGGATAGCAAATATCCTAGGGATTGTCGAGATTGGTTCCTAGCATGCTCTGACCCACAGGAATCGAGGTAATGTCCACCTCCATCAGGTGGTCTACGCCCATGGTATGACTGGTGAGGTATAGTATATTCTATCTTACTTGGGGATGCATCCTGTCGTATGACATCTGTTTTATCCCAAGTACTATTGGGTCTGGCATAATGATTGCTACTCTGAGGAGCATCAGGATTTTGAAACTTTCTGTTGGGAACCACTGGCGGAAAATGCAACTTTTCTACAAATGTGTCCATTTGACTTTTGACGGTATCAGTCTGTAAGGGATGAGTCTTGTTTTTACTTCCTTTACCATCATGATTTGCCTTCAATGCAGCTTCTTCATCATCAAACACGATCTTGTTCTAAAATGAAAAGAAATACAAAACTGTCAGATCTTCAGACTAAATTATAGGTCAACAAAGGAAACATGGCACTATCATCCGTGAAGAAATACTGTGAAAAATTAAAAAATACTTTACGTTCGCTAGACAAAATTAAGTATTTAAAATTATTTGAAGCATTCAATATAACGTCAAAGTTTCACAGTGTAAAATACAAAAATTAAATTGCATATAAGCTACTGCCTAGGATGAAGTAACAGGCAGTGGTCTAATAACCACTAAACGCTTAAGAAACAAAGGATTTACTTGGAAAAAACTACTTACACTCTCCAGACGCTTTTTCATATCTAGTTTTGGTCGCTTATACACTTTATCTGTACTAGAGGCTTTGGAAGACTTTTTTGTTGATGAATTAGTCTGAGATGTGGTGATCCTCTGTGTGAATAAACATAAGTCGTACGGTCTTTTCCTGGGATACTTCGAACGCCCACTAGAAAATACTTGACCAGAATCCAAAATATTGAGTGACGCATCTGTATCATCGACGTCCTCCATTTGGATCCGCTCTAAACGTTCCAGTTCTGCAAGTTGACTAGAAGGGTCGTATTTCCCGCAACAATAAAACATATCGTCATCCTCTAATTCAGCGCGCTGCTCATCTGCTTCATGCAAAGCTTTAAGCTTTTCTAGACGCCATACTTTTTCAGACTCTATTAGTTCCGCCTGAAAATAAAAATAAACATTTATGCAAATGCTGATTAGGCAACGACAATAGAATGATGGTATGAGATGAAAAAAGAATTTCCAAATTAAAAAAACGATAAAACCTATCCATCTATTGACAGGTGGCAGTTATAATCTTAAAAGTCGACTATTACACTAACAGTAGAAGTCACTTAAATTACTATTATGTTTGACTGAGCTCAAAAGCTACTTTCTCGACTTTGGACCACGTACTATTGCTGCTAGTTTTACTCATTTTTCAACTACCTCAAAAAGAAACAACCTGCCACGATATTATGACAGGTCGCGAAGTGTCAACCACTGTCAGCACTCAACTCCCTTCTGATCATTGTCAACTTCCCACATCTTCCCCTTCAAATCCTAGCCCACATATCTCTGCTCCTAATCATGCGTCATTTTTAATTTCTCCCAATTCTGCACCCCGTGGTAGTCATTCCAGTTCACGGAATGGCATACTCGGTTTCATGAGACCGTGCTCCGAACTACATATTGGAGACTCGAATGTCTTCATCCTTTGTCAAATCAGAAAACGAGCCTCGTTAACCAGAACTCTAACATTTCGGGTCATTGTCGTATGATGTTTTCGTGAGATATATACGGGGTCCATGTGTGATTACTATTCGCCAAGAGACGAATGCTTTGAGGCACAGTTCAAGTGATCTCGAACCATAACGCCGCATCACGAATGAAAGACTGAGACAGGCTCTCCGACTCTTGGATAAGTTGAGAAGATTGTAAGTAATCAGAAACTACAAACCACTACCATAGGTATTTCACGGACGGTGATCAGGAATTATAGATAGGATTAACTTAAGTGTTAGGTAGCCTAAAGAAACTATCTATGATTCCCTATCCAACAGATTTAAATCAGTCTTCAAAATAAGTTAGGAGCTATCCTGTGATGACGGACATGGAAATCAGTCTAACGAAAACCATGTCCAAAACTCTAGGTTCTAAAACAAAACACGCCAAAGTGCAGCTAGACAACACTAAAGCCGAAAAAATTCGAGTGCGACAAAACTCATTCCCGACAATATTTCGGGACTTGATTCTATCGACAGTGAAGAGAATGGCGAGCAAGTATTTAACGCTAATTAAAGCTGTCTACGTAAATTCACAGTCGTGAAAGGGCTTATGAGAATAGTTGTCATCAGAATTAATGATAACTAGTGATGTCGGCTAGGGATGCTCACTGTCATCGTTCCTGTTTCATTTTGTTATCAATGCAATAACGTGAATGTTCCCAGCTAACTTCGATTTTACAGGGATTGATCTACTCCCTCGAGGTCAATTGGTCGATTTGAGGTACGCAGTTGATATTATTCCGTTACGTGAAGATGCTGACAAAATCACACCTTAAGCAGAAATGCCTATGTTTGGCATGCATTTCGTATTTGTCAGATGTAAGACAGTGCTTCATGACAGGCCTACAACTACTTCCAGTTTAAGGATAGGGAGTGAAGTGGTTGAATGGGTTGGGTTGGGTTGACCACTTTACCTACTTGAGGAGTTGCATCAGTTCGGATGAAGTGGCTGCGAACGAAATCTCAGATGATACATAAATGGGCTGTTTGAGATTTCCCAAAATGTCACCCATGGCGCTAGGTGGTGAGGTATCTCACTATCAATAAAAGGACCAGTAGTTCTTCACGTTATGGGCAATCGGGAAGTTCACTGTCGTCGTAACTCTGTCACCACTGACACACCCTCAGATCACCTCCGACACCCTTACTTTCTAATCCTCCTTCCCGTCTCTCAGTTAGCTATCTGACATAATCTTTAATTTACCCCAGCTCTGCGGCTATTGACACAGATCTGAGTTCACAGAACCCGTAGTCTTCTGAAACCATCGTCCAAGCTACACATTGGAGCTTTTAGTGTCCGGACTCTCCAATAGGCCTCACTAGTCAAAAGTAACTACCCGGATCACGGATGTGTGCTGTGTTTGAGAGGCAAACATACAGGACCGTAGTGAGGTTACTCACTCAACCTCACGCGCCAAATGGTGAATCCTCAAAAGCCATACATCGAGTTTCTGAAGATTCACTGGTTAATTTTCGCGGTCCTGCAGGTTAGGCATAACACTGAGCATTTAAGCAGCAAGTTCTCTAAGCGACTGGGTCCGAGCTGAAAGCGCTGTTCGACTGAACGGTACTGCAAAGACTAAAAGGAATGGCGAAACTCGTCGCAGTCTCTTTGTAACCTCTGCATACACATCTACTGTTTGAAGTTTTGGATGAAGAGAAGGATGAGTTTTAAGACTGTCTAACCTCTTACTGAAAACCGAGCACTCAGATGTGATAGATCTTGCAGGTGATATCAATGTACAAGTGTCCAGGCTAAGTGAGGCAGAAAGGCACTTAGGTTTCACTTTCGGAATCCCAAACGGACGAACAGATAACGGCGGTCGCCTACTACAGCTATACTCAGATAACCGTTTATCTCTGGCCAGCACGAAATCCGGACATAAAGAGAGACATTGTCTGACGTGGAGTCTACCGAGCTCAACTCAGCGGTGGACACAGATAGACCACATTGCTACCAGTCATCGGGACGGTTGAAGACCATTGCTTCTCTTGAAGCACATGTTCGGAGAGCCACCACGTGTTGGTTCAAATGACTATGTCTGCGTCTAAATGGACGCAGGGAAAAACTGAAGGTAACCTGAAACAAGGGAGAACAGTAGCACTGGATGGACTAGTTCCAAGGGTATTTAAGGACGGCTATCAAGGATTTCCAGTCAACTGAAGTGTGAACTAGTATGACAGTCACATATGATCCCCTATAACTGATCTCAATCCCTGATTGTCTCAGTCTTCAAGAAAAGCCCTTCTGTGACAACATATGAATGAGCCTGATGAACATAGTATCCAAGATTCTAAATTCATGAGACGTCTGAGTGAAACTTGGGAAAAGCAAGCCCGAGAAAAGCAGGAAACCTGACTGCGGGTGTATCGACCAAATATTCATACCCCGCCAGGATCCGGAACGTAGGCACACCAACTGACGCCCGACTACCTATATTTGTCGACCTCAAGGCGGCGTTTGACTACGTCAATCGAGAGGTTTTATGGCAAAACCTGTCACTAAAAAAAGGTTCCAAATAACTACATTACTCTTTTGAAGGCTCTTTACTTGAACACCTGTGAGTGTGTTAGAGCCTATGGTGAGTTTGGAACGCCAAGTGGTGTCTGTCAGGGATCCCTCACTCTCTCCATTCCTGTTTAATTTCGTTATAGATGTTCTTATAGAGGTCTCCCTCTCGTCATCTGAAATCATATCGATTAGTCTAATCAATGAAGAATTCTTCGTGGATCTAGAATGCTGAGGTGACATAGTCCTGTCAGGTGAAGACGCTGACAAGATGTACAGTAAAACGGACACCTTAAGTGTCAATTTAAGAATATTTGCTGTCTTTCTCACCACACAAAAACAAATTGTTACTGTAGGGCTAGTTTTCAGCGGTGCCCTGTTGAGTGCGTTGACCATTTCACGTGGCCGGGAAGTCGGCGGGTTAGTGGCCGACGAAGTCTCTGCACGGATACTGGCTTTCGCCAACTTACTCCACATGTGACGCCGCGACACCCCACTGTTTATCAATGGTCGAGTGTACGGTGTTGCAGTTCGCTCTGTTCTAGTAGACGGCTTTGAAACATGGCCATTGAAGGCAGAAGACATAAGCAGGCTTCCAGTGTTCGACCACCATTGCCTTCGTAGCATAGACCGTATCACAGTGTCACCACCACGTGAGTAACGTAGTCAGAAGTAGAGTTTTAGGGAGAAGAGGAAAGTTATCTGATGCGGTTGTGAACCCTCATCGACTGAGGTGACTGGGATATGTGTTACACGTGAGTAGTCACTGTCTGCCTAGTCACGCAATCCTAGCTGAAGTATGTCCAGGATGGAAGAAGGTGAGGGGTGACCAGACTAAAACGTGGCATCACTGCATGAAGTCTTTGACTGTTGGTCTGAGCCAAGTAGGGAGATGCAGACTAGCCGGTCGGGGTCCATGTGACAAGAGAGACCAGTGGTTGAAGACTCTAGGTTATATGGCTTAGAACCGACGTCAGTGGCGCAGATGTATACACATTATCTTCATCTTAACCGCTATACTCCAATCTCATCATTTTCTCATTCCTTTTTCCTCGATTTGATTGCTTCCTAGCGGTTTTGACCGATTTTCCTCCCTTTCTTCATCTTACTGCTTTGTTACTTGTTGTGCTGATATGAGGTGTGGGGACTTAGACCGTTGTGCAGAAATCCCTGGTCCTATGTTGGTTTGAAATGATGGGTACATTGCACTGCAGTCCGCTCTGTTTCACTTTACAGTTCTGAGACAGCATTGAAGGAGGTTGGATAACCATGTAAGAATGTTGTAGTAAGGCTCAGAGAGCCAAGTAAGGAAAAAAGTCAGTAGACTTGGTTTAAGCTTGATGAATGAAGTAGCTTTGGTGTGTGTTGTGCACATTCAGTTACCACCTACCTCGACATGTTAGCTAAAGCAAGGTTTGCTGAGATAACCCTTATGCGGGTACTCAAAATGACAAGAGTTAATGATTGGAAACTCCAGACAATACGGTTAGAAACTGGTCTCAATGGAGCAAATGCATATGGCATCTGTTATTTTTGACGTTTTGAATATTTCCATTTATGTTCATTTTATTTGCTCTCTGTTTTCTCATATACGTTTCTTTTGTATCAACACTTTCCGTTAATGCTTCTGAAAAATGTGGGAAGTTGAAGTGATATACTTCCGTGCTAGGTCCTAAGTTGAGTTTCCCTTTCGAAGAAGTCATCCTTGAAGTGTCTGACTTGCATTGTCAGACGAAATTGATTGAGAAGACAGGATAAGTTTTTATCAATGAAGAAGATACGCGTACTGCCAAAATTTTTAGCAGTTTTACCTGGCTGTTTGTACAACTGTATATCAGAAAGCAACAGCGACAACAGAGTACTTTACAAATTACTAATCATGAGGCTCTATGATAGAGAAGTTCTTTTCGGGACCTACACTCTTAAAAATCCATTAGGGAATGGTTCTATATGCCTTAGAAACAGATGCAAAAAAACCAAGGAGGTTGAAGCATGCAGCCTGGACTCTGCTGTTAGCCGCCAGGAAGTACCAAAATGACACTAAAGCGATCAAATACATTCCTTCAAGCATATACACCGATTATCTCATCCCAGCAACAGCAAACAAGAAATCATAAGTGCAAATGAATTCAAACTGATGCTTGTTGCACAACAGATGGGTGTGGTAACTAGCGGATAACTCTGTTTGAAGTCATGTGTACTGGGGTCAGAGTTCCGATGCAGATACATCCGGCTAAAACAAAACACGATGCAACCTTAAGACTCTATTCCCAACACCGAAGTGTAGGTTTCTTTACTACTGCATTTAAAAAGGTAGTTGAGCCATATGAAGGAATCAGAAAATTATAAAAGCTTAAATTATGCATGTTAGGAAGAAACGGGTGAAATGTAATTATGACAAGACGGAAATCGCATTCTTACATCAGCCATATCCAATTGTTCGTTCAGCATTTGTTCTCTTTGCTCTTCAACTTGTCGGACTCCAAACCGTTCTACAGGCTTTAGCTGTGATTCGAACCCGATCAGCTCACGTTCAACAACTTCTTCAATAGTTTCTGACGTACTACCAATTACATGTTCTTCTTCCATATTTTGGTTTTCACAACGCTGACGACTGACGCGTAGCCGCGACAGAGGATCGATCTCATTGACTGGTGGAATACTTGAACCGTCGTTATGGCTAGAATTGGTAGGGTCAACACCGTTATCATCATTAGGTGACTTTTCTTCAAACTCAGCCAGATCTGCCTATTGAATTGAAGGAAAAATGTTGTCAAATATCATAAACACATTAAAAATCAATATTCTCTTATCATAATAAATAATGGAAACAAATAGGCATCTAATTTGACCGGAAGAATTCAACTAAGAGCATAAAAATAAGCCCAGTCGAAAGAAACTAACCAGTGGTAATGTATTTTTTAACATAGAGGAGACACTGCAACTGAATTATGAATCGTTAGTGATTTTAGATTTGTTATGAAAAGCATCCTAAAAAACAAATGAAACGATAATGAATAAAATATACTTACTTTCGCTTCATCCAATGCACGCCGAGCAGCAATACGATCGCTTTCTTCTTCACATGCATCAAGCAATGCCTCCAACTGTGCTTCCGCATTTAACGCAGGTTCTACTGACTCAGTGTGGTTAACATCTTGTGAAGGAGTGAGAGCTGCTAACACGGAAACATTTGTCGGACGTATTTGTCTTCCACTACGAGTTACTATGACCTTATCATCAGGTTGAACTGAACTTCCAGAATCCGTGAATGGCTTTTCAAATTGTGAAGACGATGAAGATTCAGCAGCAGATAAATCTTTTATTTTCGCTAAGTCCTAAAACAATAAGATCAAGGAAGTTTTGAAAATCCTTAAGAACGAAAATCAAGGAGACGAACACTTAACAAGCTCTAATGAAAGGTCCGATTCTTAAGAATTAAAGACCTAAAAAAGCGAATAGGATTATCCACATGTTAGTACACAAAAAAGTGACCGATCTAGTCTTGACCAGCATGCCATAGGAAAAAACATAGCGAACATGAAGTGACTATAAGCTACATACAACGACAAAACAAGTTGTCTAACCTAAAAGATGTTACAACTTAGGAGTGAAAGACGAGGAGGGGAAAATTAACAGGAATAATTGACACTCCCCAACCAAACCTTGGAAGAGTTGTTTGATACAATCATCTTGAAAAGTGAATTATAGTGCAACTAGAGCTACCATATCCAACTTATAAATGTAGGAATAAGATTGATGAGCACTGCTGGAAATGTTCCGTGAAACATTAGACTGAGTACTGATAAAATATCACAGCCTTCCATTCAAAGCCGTTTATCTGAATAATACTCAACTCGATTTTTGTGATTGTCACTCAGTTTCTGTCCCTTCTTTGCTTGCCCTTGATATTTTCCTACAAAATTTCTGTCCCCATAACCACTACTGACTGAATTGCAACTTGAATCAATTTTCTCACCGATAGCTCACTAAATACTATCTGTAAATGTTCTTATAGCGTGCATCAGTTACTGGGCATTTAAAATATTTTTGAGTGATGGTTTTCGCAAAATAGGATATAAAACAAAGGAAAATATGACTTTAAAAGACAAATGATATCGAATTATAACCTGAAGTCCTGACGGTTCTGCAAATAATTCTGTTATGGTGTTTTGCTTGAAGAAGGCTGTCGTAAACTTGCCACCTTCGATTGCTACATCACTTAGGAAACGTTTTTGATTAGCTTTGCGCAAAATATTTTCTTCCACTGTTCTTTCACTTATAAGTCGGTAGATATGTACATCACGCGTTTGTCCGATTCGGTGGCACCTAAAAAGTGAAATAAAAAGTAGACTTAAACCCAGACCACAGGCTTGTGAACAAAATTTCGCGAATCCAATGTAAGATTCATAAAAAGGCACAAAACAGAAAGCTCTATGATGTCAAGTTAATAGGAATAAATTATTTCGAGCCACAATAGGTAGTCATTCTTTGTTTACAAACAGATAAGGATGAAGTACACAAAATTACCATGAGTAAGTAACATATTATTTCCACAGTGTTTGACAAATGAATTTCATCAGTAGATCAAAAGAACCAATACTATGAACGAAGTTAATTTCACAATAGTTGTCAAGACCAGTCAATATCATCTGACTGAGATTACCTTGCAGTGGTGTGAGACAGGTGCCGCAACTTCGAGATAAAACTAGAAAAGATTGCAAATATCTTCGAAGCGCAGAAAAATGTTGAATATATTTTCAACAAGTAAACACAATGTCTACTTCATCTCTTGAATATAATCTATGTCCGAGCAGTATTCGAAATAAACCCACACGTTAATCACTAGGGTTTCATGAAGAAGTTGCGAAAGTTGCACTTCAAAATAGAAAGTGCACTGTACATGTATATTATTAGTGCATAGAGTAAGTGAGTGACCAATAAGACTTTTACTAGTTAAAGTGTTGTGTAAACTTCTAAAGAACCAATATGCATTCTCTGCTGGTATTATTTCATTGGTTAAATGCTATTAAAAGATTATGAACAAGTATAAAAACTTAGTTGTAATGGCCTATTTCTGACTGGTTACCCGAAACATATACGGCTTGCGCAATAGGTGATAGCACAAACCATGTTTAACACTAGAGGTAAACAATACCCGAAAGACACGATAAGAAACATCTAAACTAACTAATGTTTACCTGTAACAGTGATTCAGTTTTAGAACCATTTATTTCAAAACAAATTTGTGTCAACACAGAAAATACACTAACTCATAACCTTATATAATTCGGATATAAGTCCTCTTGTAACAACTATGAATGGGCCGGTTTGACTAACGTATTTAGAAAAAATCCCAGTTCACTAGTTAATCGACAACTGAATGAGCCTCAAACATTAAGAGCACCAGTAAATCAGTTGGATTTCATGCTGTCAATGATGTATTCATGGGATCATCACTATTCATTAGTTGGTATAGCCATAATGTAGTAAAATATGCGTTAGGCTGGTTACTTTTTGATTTATAAACTGTATGTAACGTCAAACGTCACTTTCTCGACGATACTCAAACCTGAAAGGAACGCCAACCTAATAAACACAATGGGTGAATGTCTGAGGGTGCTTAAAAGGTCATGCATGACACCGATGACATCCAAATAGTCTTTTTTTTCCATAGGCGTACACCAAAACCATGCATCCCGTCCTGAGGGTCATTTAGTACGAAATTTACGTCCAGGGTTATTAAATAAGTTGACGCATTGTTTTTCTTTATGTAATAGGCTATCAAACACACGTTGTGTGATGACTTGTGATAATACATGGTCACTTGGGTCGAAATAGATGTAGTGGGGTTCAAACCACAGACCTATGGTTGCATAGTTCCTCAATTACCTCTCAGTCGACTCTTAAAATGCAATACTGGGATATAATGCGCACAATGTCGCACACTCCAAACCTGATTTACAGATTAAGATCAAGGGGAAGAACTCAGGGTTTAACAGTTAAATTGGTTACAATTCGGTAACCAATTTGTGCGCTTTTAATAATAATTTAAATGCAAAAAACTACAGTTCTGTAAACTAAGTAATAAGTTAAACCTACTACGTGAGATTTGAAGAAGCACCTGAGAATGTGAGCGATATATCTGAGTAGGACCTACAACAGGTGAGAGCTAAATGCTCAATTCAACGAGTCAGAGATGTCTTAACACAAATGTATGAGGAGTTCTCAATACTAGTATGTATCTCACCTGTCCTGTGCTTGAGCATCCATTGTAGGATTCCAATCGGAGTCGTAAAATATCACTGTGTCAGCCCCTGTTAAGTTCACGCCTAAACCACCAGAACGAGTTGACAATATGAAGACAAAGATCTGGGTATCCTGGTTGAAGCGTTCCATTAAAACTTGACGCTGTTCGACTTTTGTTGTGCCATCCAGTCGCAAATACCGATGCCCATGATATGCTAAAAACTGCTCCAAAATATCTAGCATTCGTGCCATCTGTGTAAAAATAAGGACACGATGATTTCCAGACTTGAGTTCACGTAACATACCATTCAGTCGTTGCAGTTTTCCTGTTTATTAATGAAAAAAGAGAAAAATTAACAAATATTCCTGTTTCAAAACTTAACGTGTTAATTTCTCTCCGTTTTATTTTCGATTTCGATGTTACCCCCGCACTGTATTTTGTACATTGTTTTATACTAATTACTAATATTGAGTAGTATAATTATTCTACCGTAGAGCTGTTTTGTCTGGAACCTTGTTAGTTTCTGGATGGTTCAGAAAAACTTGGGCACCAAGGTAGCATGATTCATTGTATTAGGGTTTTCCTAGCAAGATCGAAAAGTTGAGGAATAATGCAAAATATTTGTTGATATTTTTTTTGTTCTGCTATACTACGCAGAGATTACACAACTAAAATACACCTTATACTTGCTCATTTCTGTAATAATCGTATTTTCATCATATCAATGTGTCAGAGTATCGATATCTTCCGAATTTCACAATTGTATTGTGCTCTCGTCAGTTTTTATCGTTATGCTACACTTAAATTTCAGTAACTTCAATCCGTTAGGTTTTGATTTCCACTGTGGTTTGCTACAGACGCAGCTTTCCTGTAAAGTGCTTCCAATGGCGATAAGCACAAGGACACCTTATGATTGAAAGTTCGTAGTTTAATAATCATTAATTTTTATTAATAGGGTACCGTACTTCAGAATTTACGACTAACTGCAGCGTTTGGTTTATTTATCGAACTAACTGATCGCTTGCTTTTAGATTTATAGAAACAGATTCACGGCTTGGTTAAACGATTTTCGGAAAAGTAACATAACAAAGAAGGTAACACAATATTCATACGCGGATTTACTTGATAAAAATCAAATGTATGAATGTTAAGAAGTCTTAACCTGCTACATTAACTGAAATAGCTGAGTTAAAACTCTTACTCGAGTTAATTGGTTAATTTAGATACTCACACTAATTGGCAATTAACCGTTATATATATATCCACTTGATCCAACCTTATATTAAGCTTCAGCATGCTAGTTAATTAGATAATCTGAAATAACCTTCCACAATAGACTGATCTTAACTTTAAATACCTTAGAATCGCAACTGAAGATGCAACAGCAAAAATGTTAGAGGAAGTATCCAGTTAACAATGTGTACTTTGTTCTACCAAATGCATCAGACCTTAATACAGTGTATCAACTACAAACTATAGGGAAGTCTAATATTGAAGAAAACAGTAAACTTACCACAGTCGTACTGAATCAATCGTGGGTCAGGGAACTGAATGCGGCAGGACATAACCAACTGGTGTAACTTTGATGGCATTAACCAAATCTGAGGACTTAATGGTGGTAGACGATTAGTGGATCTTCGATATTCACATGAATTCTCTGGAAGACATGCAGGAGGTAAACATCCCGAAATTAATAGCATATCTCGGATGCGACTTTCTTGATTGATAACTTGGTGCTCCAGAGCATGACTGGAAACTTGAAGCATAAAGCCCGATGATATGACAGCAGGCACTACAAAAACGAACCTTTTGGAAAGAAATCATAGGGCTAACTAGTCTATATATCAAACAAAAAACAATTTAATTTATGGAAAAGATTCTGGCACAGCCTAATAATAGTCTCATCATTCGATTGAAGACAAACCTAAAGTACGAGCGACGTAAAGTTATCATCACCTAAATCTATGAGGAAATATTCGCAACCTTTTTCCCTGCACTGATTCACTGACCATGCTAAGTTATCGTTATGCGACAGCTTAACAGGGAGACGACGACAAAATCAACATAGGACCAGACATTACTGGGTAATGTCTACACCTGACATCAGAACATCAAATCAGAAAGTACTTAGATAATTTAACGGGGCGTTTGCAACGGTGACCATCATCTTGACCATTGTAAAACCTTTAGTTTTATGGAAGTGGAAAAGTAGAAAGCAGTTGCTGAAGAGAAAGAAATTGTCACTTGTATCGGAAGGTGAATCATATCGGTAGAGATTGTATGTATTAATGAGAGTGGATCGTTGAAGGGAGGGTCAGCAGCAGCATCAGTTACTGAATATGGTTTTCAGAAACAGCTCTATGTTAGAAGTACCAGCTAACCACATACCAAGAATGGATTTAATGAACATTACAGAACAACATTTAAATAAGCCATAAGTTGCTGTAGTAGAAGTTTATATAAAAATGTTCTGTAAATCATTCTATGCTAACTTTAGCATTCCTCCGCAGTAGTTCAGAAGAAACCTTCATTCTGAAGCTTTTGGCCGATGAATTGGAAATGCCTGGGAAACCTATACACGCTTGATAACGATAAGGAAGACACTATACGTTAATCAGTTGTTGAGTCTAACATAAAGTAAGGTGATGTTAATACTAAAACACGTGTTAATTAGCTGTACACAATAAAAGCCCTACCAGGTAAGTGACGCATACTCTTTAGAAAGCAACTGCTGCATTACTGGTTAAGTCTGAAGTTCGAATTTTGTACGACCACTCATGTCGGATTATGTTCCCAAGTTATATTGGGTCACTGAACAAAGAACAGGCAAGATTCAAGAAAAATATGCCATAAGAAGTGTTTTCTGGTGAACCTAGGGGCAAGAATGACGATCATAGTACGCGAACAAATATCCTACAGTTCTTGGAGATACAGAAAAGGTCTCAGATGTTCTATCAGTAGAATAATATGTTAAGAGGAAAAGTTAGTGACAAATTTACGTTCGATAGAGAAAAGGCTGCTTTCGTAGCGACGTAAAAGCCTATTGTTTTAAAAGCAATAAAATTTCTTTGCCATAGAGATTTGACTGTCTGTCTTTGGTAAATAATAAGTAGCGCATCTTCCATAACAGTAGATTAGTATTCCGGGGGCTGCTGGTTCGAGTCCTGCCGCAATCTACGCGTTCGTCTAATCTTCAATCATCAGCACGAGTCAATGAACAATAAGTCATATAGTCTATAATGACTGAATTACTTCTGTAAGTGGATAATATCATCAGACAATTTGGTCAAGCATTATTCAGGAGTGATGAAAAAGCACTTAGGTAGAGAGTTTGCGGAAGTAGCATCTTTCTCAGACTCCTAAGCTAATATATGTTATCTTCCGTATCAACCTATTTTTTCTAACAGCGAAACTGAGGAAGTTAGAATCACCTTTGACTTTGCTGCCAACCCCGAAAGATAATAACTAAACGATAGAATACCAGACGATCCTAACCTGACGAACTTTCTCGTCTGCATACTACTGTGATTCAGATAAAGGAAATATTTGTGACAGCTGACAATAAGGGACTTTTTATCAAGTTCATGAGCTGAAGAATGAAAAAGATGTCTTAGGCTTTTCGTAGTGACTATTTAGTGACGTTTCTTGTACACCACAGAACTATTAAATGATAGTTAATATATTCAATGCAAACTTCACACCTAGCTGTGCCACATTTGCTTTTAGTCACAGTATAAAAAATGAAACCAACTACAACTGCAATGTTGGAAAACTGGTAACTCTGTTTCTATGGGGATGGCTGTACAATTAGTTTATGGGACATAAAATCGGTACATCGAATAGTTACACAGTAAAAGCGCATGCTAATGAAGAGAAGTTTCAGTCTAACTACGCGGGTTAGTGATGATATTCTTCGTTCTTTTTGCTGCCCTGATTTCAATTCTGTCTTGCTACCGATCCTACTCGAAGATCATAAAAATCCATTATTTTGGGATTTGGATTTCCGAAGGGATTTTATTTGCCCGATGGCTAAATTCTTTCGAACCACCAAGTCACAACTTGGTTTGGATAGCTATAAACACAGAAAAGATTTTTAGGCTACAATGATGTGTCCAGGGCGAAACATCCTGTTTTTATATCCGCACGACAGATCCTCTTCCTTATCGTCACTATAAATGACCTATTGGAATACAAAGAACCGGTCAAAATACCAGCCAAAAATCCTTTCCGAAGTTTATTCGAAATAAAGCCAGCTCGAGGCGAAACAATTACAGAAGAATTGAAAAGAAGAATGAGATAAACGGAATCATTACAAAAGCTACAACGGGGTTCAGTAATAAGGTCATTTGATGTAACACAAGCTATTAAAATAAAGCTTAATATTTTCATCGATGTTTCAGGCGATGGAAGCGGAGCAGCTGAAAACTTTTGGCTAACCACCAAAAAGTGACAGAAGTTGAGGGCTGACATTGGCTAGGGCCAGAGTTTCACCTGCTAACGTAGCTCCGTTAGCATAACACGTCACAAATTGAAAGCTGAAGTAATTCCATTTTACTTAACTTGTAAATGTATCACACAGTGAAACAGCATTACTTAATGAATTACTTTTGGACACAATTTACTTTCCATAGTCATATCAAGATAACTTAACAACTTTGAGACATGGTTAATACAGTTTTAATTTTCTCGCCAATTTTGTGACATGGGTAGTAGAATTTCCTATATATTCGGAGAGTGCTGAGTCATTCCTAACGCATGTAGTGGGTGTTGATTCGGTAAACAAAAATTCAGTTATCAACCTCTACTTCCACCCCGCTGTTGATTTTTACAGAACTTCGTCACAGAGTAGCTTTGTACTACGTATTACCAAGTTTCTAAAAGATTTCTGACTCCTTTAGTGGATAAACCAATATGTATAAAAATGGTGTCATATCGACTCCCAGAGAAAAAAAATCTCACGTGCTATGGGTAGTGAAGCAAAGAAGCTGAATCCGTGGTTTGATGCTGCGACCCATTTTTCTAACCGTTGGTTGCTGGCCTGAAGCATCATCATCAGTGTCAACATAAGACCAGGGATTTCTGCACAACGGTCTAAGTCCCCACACCTCATATCAGCACAACAAGTAACAAAGCAGTAAGATGAAGAAAGGGAGGAAAATCGGTCAAAACCGCTAGGAAGCAATCAAATCGAGGAAAAAGGAATGAGAAAATGATGAGATTGGAGTATAGCGGTTAAGATGAAGATAATGTGTATACATCTGCGCCACTGACGTCGGTTCTAAGCCATATAACCTAGAATCTTCAACCACTGGTCTCTCTTGTCACATGGACCCCGACCGGCTAGTCTGCATCTCCCTACTTGGCTCAGACCAACAGTCAAAGACTTCATGCAGTGATGCCACGTTTTAGTCTGGTCACCCCTCACCTTCTTCCATCCTGGACATACTTCAGCTAGGATTGCGTGACTAGGCAGACAGTGACTACTCACGTGTAACACATATCCCAGTCACCTCAGTCGATGAGGGTTCACAACCGCATCAGATAACTTTCCTCTTCTCCCTAAAACTCTACTTCTGACTACGTTACTCACGTGGTGGTGACACTGTGATACGGTCTATGCTACGAAGGCAATGGTGGTCGAACACCGGAAGCCTGCTTATGTCTTCTGCCTTCAATGGCCATGTTTCAAAGCCGTCTACTAGAACAGAGCGAACTGCAACACCGTACACTCGACTGTTAAGAGATAATCAGATATCGCCGCAAGCCTTGGTTGGAAGAGTAAAACCAACCCAAAAGAAAATTGACCAAGAGTTTTCGCAATGATAGAGAGCCGGGTTGGATATTAAAGTGAGAGAGATAGAGAAAGCATCAGCACAAGATAATGTTCGACAATTATTTGTGATTACTATTAATATCGACAGGAAGACGTTAGTTGGTGAGACCTTCGTTGGAAATCATGGATCTCTGAGGCAGACAGATAGCACGTTGAATGGAACACTTGGAAACAGTCCACCTGATCCGCGGTAACGCTTTAGATATCCAATATCCAGCACAAGTTGAATGGGATGAGTAGGTTTTAAAACACAGGCACCCCAAGTGCGGTCCAACACCCGCCAGTTTTCAAAGGGTGGAACTCAACTCTATTGCAAATGAGTCCTTACTATGAAAGGAGTATTGAACAAGTATGTATTGCTCATCAAAAGTATCTAAATATACTCAAGCTGCATAAGGGCTAATGAATGGTTGTCATCTGCGAAAGACGATCACTCATCATTACAAAAATAAACATTATGATAGAAGTGAATATAACTCTAATTGCATACACTACCCAAAAGAGGGAACTTAGTTGACTCATAATAAGTACACAACACTGTCCAGTTACGTAAAGATAATGCGGAAATGCAATCTCTTGGATGGCTTGACCTCAAAGTCTGAGTGTGATCGACATGGATTTCACACCTGTCAAACAGATGATGTTTCGCATCTGATCTATAGCTACTCCCAGTTCAAGGATAGGCAGTGAACTGGTGCAATGTATCGACTACTTCACCTACTTGTGAAGTTGTATCAGTTCAAACGGTTTGGATGCCGACAAAATCTCAGCTTGGATACAAAAGGCTCATTCGGCACATGTTACACATGTCGTCGGTGAGATATCCGACTACCCATTCAAAGACGGGTAAACTGCACTGAAGTTCGCTCGGTCCTTTTGCACAGCTGTGAGAAAATACCATCCACCTAGGCATGCGACTTTACAGTGCAATTCTTCCTTGCATGATGTCATGAATTGCGGCAACTTTAACCGATACATTTCCGTGGTGAGGTGGATATTGATCTATCTTTATGTCCAGGCGTTTTATTACATGATAACACTAGGTGGCCAAAGCTTTTCTACTTACAAGACCCTCGTTCTGGTATGTGTCGCATAGCTGTGGATCAGAAAGAAAAGCCAACTCCTTTTCAAAAGGCAAACTGATCTCACTTTGAATGAACCGACTAACTGGTTGGACTACAGTGCACAATGGCTTGACTCTGAGTCGCTGAAAACCAAATAAAATATAAGACGGACCAATAGTGCAAAACCTTGCAGGAAGGTGTAGCATTACAAGTTATCACATTTTACGGCACCATTTAAAAAACAGGTGGATAGATAATTATTCATATCAAAGTGGACAAAAGCATATGAGGACAGAGAAGGTTAATGAAAACTTTTAAAATTTTGCACATGACAAAATGTATGTATTTGCATCATCGATTTGAAGACATCATTGAGAATATTCGATCACTGATTCCAACCATCCGATTGTAATTTGTCAGTAAAAAAGAAAATGAATGAAGTTGGTGGCACCTTAAGAAAGAAAGAACTACAGTTCCGAAGATCCTTTTAAAAAGTAAAAAAACAATGTTACCTATATGAGTCAAATTCTTTTAAAAATATAAGATGATGCATTTCGACTTAATACAGATTGATGTACTAGGCTATAAGCCAAACACCGGTATCTGAGGGCTAATGATACTAATTGGTCACCCAGTACAAGAAGTCAAATTCGAACTTGAGGCCCTTTGCCTAAGCGTCGAAAACCAAAGCCAATGAACCACATCTCCCCAAGTTAGACTGTCGTTTAATATGCAGCCCTATCTACAGGGTATAGCAAATGCATAAATACTGATTTTCATTTACACGTTATTTTAAAATTTCAAAACCCTATCAACTAAACGAAGACATATGAAAACTTACCTTTTAAGAACTTCGCGTAAATCATTTAAATAATCACAAGGACTATGCAACATTTTGCGAAGAGGACGAGGCACACGAGACCAGATTGCATCCCGAGGACCGAGAGATCTCAAAGTTGACAGATCTAATGTTTGAGAACTGATTTCAAAACATGATGCTTTATCAACTCTAGAACTTTCATTACTAGTAAATGAACAGTTTCTGACGGGCCACGTATACAAGCTCAATTGACAACAGGTTGCGCCATTAATGAGACCTGGATAAGTACGAGCACTTCTACGATCATATGTGACAGACTTCTCATGTAGCAAACGACTGATAAGTAAAACAAGGTCAGGTCCGATGTGCGTTCCATGATCCCAATCCATCCCAATATCATTTGAATGTGAATTAAAAGTTATATTACAACGACGTTCATTAACACGACTCATTAACAGCAATCTATTTTGCCGTTCAGCAAAACGGAGACGTAAGCATGACTTAGGCATACCAATATTCCAAGGATTTTTCGGCAGATCAGCTATTCATAAAAACGCAGAAGAAAGACAAAAGTTCTCTGATAATGAATTTGACATCATATGTAAAACTAATGCACAATACAAGATACAAAATATATAATCCGCATTCGTCTCATATGATAATTAAGAGATGTAATATAAACAAAATGAAATGAACATTTTGATAAGGCTTCGTTTGCATCTATTCTGCTGATTTCAGCTGCATGAAAAATTTAACAACAAAACACAAAGGTAATTAGAGATGCTCGAAGCTTGATGAAATAATCCCCTAAAGTAAGGGCAGGTCTTTGGAAAAACAAATCTTGAGTACTATCTTTATTTCTACAGCATTATTACACAAATCAATTAGTACAACCTCACTGAAAAGCTAACTGATGAAACAAACAGACATTGAAATAATAGCCATGAATAAATACAGATTGTCCTGAATGCTGCTCAGCAACTTAGATAGTAGTATCATGTGACACAAAAATTACCCTGTCGGAACTGAAATATTTGTATGGTCAAGTATTACTGAATAGATCACAACTAAAGGTTAACTAGTTCACTAGTTACTAGCCGGTCCTAAGCCCAAGTAAAGAGGGGAGGTTGGGCATAGGGCTAGCAACCCTACCCCGTAAAACAAATCCAACCGCTAAAGAAACTTCAAAGCACAAACGAAATATAAAAAATAATAACAAAATTATTTCTCGCTGGAAGCGGAGAGGCGAAATGACGCCAGTTGGTGAAAGCCTTCTGGAAGCCAATTAGCTGATGTGTTTTCTCTCTCTCGAAGAAAGCGAAAGTAAACGTGGGGACATGGAATGTCCACACCATGTTTGAACCCAGCAAGGCAGCCCAGATTGTAAAAGAGATGAGAAGGTATCACATCGAAGTGCTTGGAATATGCGAAAGCAGATGGAATGGAAGTGGAGTCTCCAAACTGTCAACTGGAGAATCAATAATCTACTCCGATATTGTCACTCAGACGACAACCACGAGCACACTGAGTTTTGGAGTGGCTATCATGATGTTCCCAAGAGCATCGAAGGCCTTCATGCAGTGGGAACCAATCTCCTCCAGGATTATGACAGCAAGGTTCAACTCAAAAGGAAGGTCACAAGCATACAATGCTACGCTACGCACCTACAAATAATGCAGAGCAAGAGAAAAAGGAGGAATTCTACAGACAACTGCAATCAGTAATGGACAAGACCCCAGTTGGCGACGGCGACATCAAAATTCTAATGGGTGACATGAATACGAAACTGGGAACGGACAACATAGGAAGCGAACTAACCATGGGTCGAGAAGTGCTAGGTGAAATGAACGAGAATGGAGAACTGTTTGCAGAATTCTGTGCATTCAACGATTCGGTGATTGCAGTGAGGCAGTGTGTTCAAGCACAAGGATATCCACAAAGCGACATGGATTCGATTTCACCAGAAACCAGGACACACTAAAATCCAGATTGACTTTATCTCAATCTCAAGAAAGTAGAGAAGCAGTCTACTTAACACAAGGTCAAGAACAGGAGATGTAGGTTCAGACCACTCACATTCTAGTGCACTGAACCTACCTTCCAAATCGAGTTAAAAACCTTCATGGAAGCTGATGATAGACCACAGTTTAAGTACAACACCCAGAACAGAAACTGAAGGACGAAACTACAAAGGAAATCTTCACGTCAGTCAGCCATCAAGACAAAATGGGAGATATCGAGGAACATCCCTGAAGAAACCTGTGTGGAAGAACACTGGAAGTCTTTGAAAGCTATGTGGAAAGAAACCTGCACAGCCGTATTAGGAAGGAAGAAGAAAGAGGATAAAGAACGGATCTCAATGGATACATGGAAGCTGATAGAGGAGAGGGGAATGGTGAAGCAGAAGATAAACCAGTGCAAGGATGTCCAACAACATGAGGAACTGAGTACAATGTGTAAAACACTGGACAAAGAAGTGAAGAAGAGTGCACGGAAAGACAAAAGACACTTCTACGAAACACTAGCAAGTGAAGTAGAACAGACTGCCAGCTAGTAGGAGACCTGACAACACAATATCAAATAAACAGGTTACTATCTGGTAGGCGAGAGATCAACGCAGATGAAACCAATAAAAGATGATGAAGAAAATCTAATTACCAAAGAAGATAAACAAAGAAAACGATGGACTGACCACTTCAAAAAGCTCTTGAATCGACCACCACCTTCACTTCGTCCAGAAATACCACCTGAAGCCACAGAACTACCAGTGCACATAAATCCTCTAACAAAAGTGGAAGTCCTGAGCGCCATAAGGCTACTGAAATGCGGAAAAGCAGCAGGACCAGATGAAATCCCGCCAGAAGCACTGAAAAAAGATGCAGGGACAACAGCGGACATGCTCACACCACTATTGCAGAAAGTCTGAAAGGAAGAGAAGGTACCTGTCCATTGATTGGAAGAAGGGTTACCTTGTCAAGCTAGTGAAGAAGGGAGACCTAAATCTTTTCAAGAACTGGCGAGGAATCACACTCCTGTCCATCCACCCCAAGTAAAATATTAAGCCGCATCATCCTGGAGAGATTAAAGGATGCACTGAATTCAAAACTACGAGCGGAACAGGCAGGCTGCCTTCAGGAAGTACAAATCATGTGCAGACCAAATTGCAACGCTTCGCATCATCTCATCATAGAACAGAGTACAGAATGGCAGTCAACCCTCTACGTCAACTTTATCGACTTTGAAAAGGCCTTCGACAGCGTTGGACCGACAAGTAATTTGCCAGGCAGTTGCTTCAACACTACGGAATGCCACAAATCTTTATCAGCCTCATCCAACAACTATATGAAGATGCCACATGCCAAGTAATTCACAATGGGAAGCTCAGTGATGCTTTTGAAGTGAAGACAGGAGACAGGAGTGAAACAAGGCTGCTTGCTATCACCCATGATATTCCTGATTGTGGTCAGCTGGATCATGCAACAAACAGTGAGGAGCGAGAAGAGAGGGATACGCTGGCTGGACTGCGGAAAAGAACCTAGAAGATCTGGATTTCGCCGATGACTTGTGTCTGATGTCACATAAACTTGAAGATCTACAGGCGAAAACTAACAAGTTGACAGAAGAGGCGAGGCAGCGAAGACGGGACTTCAGGTGAATATAGAGAAGACAGAGGTGATGAAGATACGCAACCAACAACAACAACAAACTCCAATCACCATCAACGGGAGAAACTTAAAGGAAGTAACCTCCTTCACCTATTTAGGAAGCACTGTTTCAATTACAGGAAGCACAGGCACAGACGAGGACGTCAAAGTCAGGATCGGAAAAGCAAGACAGGCGTTCATTAGCCTGAAACCAGTGTGGAGATATTCTGCACTCAGCACAAAAAACAAGATCCGGATTTTCAACACCAACGTCAAGTCAATGCATCTGTATGGTTCAGAGACTTGGCGCGTTACGAAAGGGATTTCGAACAAACTACAGACATTCATCAACAAGTGCCTACGCTCGTTACTGAAGATCAGATGGCCAGACGACATCATCAGTCAGCACTAACTTCATACTGAAGTTGGTGCTGGTGATGTCGTCTAGCAAGGCGATGAAAACTTCACGATTCAACAACCCAGCTCAGAGAACACAATACAACCAAGACCATCCACCTGAGCTACAAATGTTCTCCATTATTTCAAGCAACAAGGAACTCTGGAAAAGAACCAACCAAGAACCTATCGCTCAACAAATATGTAGAAGGAAATGGAGATGGATTGGGCATACACTGAGAAGACCATTCGGGGACATCAAACTCCAGGCCCTCGAGTGGAACCCAGATAGGAAGCGACGAATTGGGCGTCCGAAGCAAGGGTGACATAGAGAAGATCGTGCGAGGAGGAAATGAGAGCTTGTGGGCTGTCGTGGAGCCAGGTTCAAAAAATTTCAGAGAACAGAGGGCATTGGAGACGTGCTACTGAAGCCCTATGTTCCATTAGGAACCCAAGGGACAAATAATAAGATATAATAAATAAGGGTTTTCTGGTGTCACCGGATTGACATCTATATACACGAAATCAACGTAGGATCTCACAAACAAGTGCATCAGTTCAAGTAAACATACTTCAAAGAAATATACACAGAAAAAGTGGACAGAATGACATATCAAAGCAGACAACAGTCAGAGATTTCATCGACTGGTGCCACATCCTTGTCTGATTACCCCAAGACTAATTCAACTTCCCCTAGCACTGCATCTCGAGGTAGGCAGTGGCTCGGTGTATGACGTAGTTTACAGATTATTAGATAAACTTGTTTAAATTTCCGCGTCATGTAAATGGTTTAAGTAGTCATCTTTTTGTCGCTTCTGTTCAGATACTATCTCCTTTGTTTACTAGCATTGCATTTGCTATACGAACCCATGTACCCGTATGTAGTGCAGTAGTTATTGTTCATGTGCCAGGATGACATCAATAGTTGCTGTTCGACACCGAAATTGACGCAACAACTTAATGTGGCGACATATGAAGACCTACTGGAAGGCAAGTGATTTCCATGATACTCAACCTTCCTGGTCATTGAAAACAGTTGGTGAGGTTGAATGACAGTTAACCAACCAATGACATGGCTTAACTGCACATCAGAAAGCAAGGCATTGGGAAAAAATGGTGAGAAGTACAGAAACAAATTATAATCAATGTTGCGCGCTTTTTAGACTGGTTCTTTTGTGGTTGATACAGTAGGGTTTCCTTGTTTCAAGTTGTTTACAGTCGTCTCAACTTATAAAAGAGTTGGAGAGCCTATCTCATTGTTCAACTCAGGAGGAAATTTGAAAGTGGAAAACCGAGAAGCTTGAGGTCACTAAAGTTACTTTTCCGAAGGGTTCAGCTTATCCATTCAGTCGTATTCGCTGCGTGAATCCCATGCCATTTTTCCAAGGTAATTGTGTGCATTCTACATCAGTCTACATTTGTTCTGCTTCCAACCTTTACTTTTGTCGGAGCCTACAACAGTACATTCGCATGCATTGGTTCTCCAAACTCATTTTCTTGTGGTTATCACAGGGAGGTTTCCTTGTTTCCAGTTACTGACAGTGGCCTCAACTTCTCCAAGAGTTGGAAAGCCTGTCTCAGTGTTTCATTCGTGATGCGGCGTTATGGTTCGAGATCACTTGAACTGTGCCTCAAAGCATTCGTCTCTTAGCGAATAGTAATCACACATGGACCCCGTATATATCTCACGAAAACATCATACGACAATGACCCGAAATGTTAGAGTTCTGGTTAACGAGGCTCGTTTTCTGATTTGACAAAGGATGAAGACATTCGAGTCTCCAATATGTAGTTCGGAGCACGGTCTCATGAAACCGAGTATGCCATTCCGTGAACTGGAATGACTACCACGGGGTGCAGAATTGGGAGAAATTAAAAATGACGCATGATTAGGAGCAGAGATATGTGGGCTAGGATTTGAAGGGGAAGATGTGGGAAGTTGACAATGATCAGAAGGGAGTTGAGTGCTGACAGTGGTTGACACTTCGCGACCTGTCATAATATCGTGGCAGGTTGTTTCTTTTTGAGGTAGTTGAAAATGAGCAAAATTAGTAATCTGGGTAACATACGATCTTTCTGAATGTTTATGGTATGAATTTTTTTCGAATCTGGACATCAGAAATCTACACCGCTGGTACTGGAGGGTTCAGTAGCATAGAAGGTTTGCTATTTTTATGCCTGACACTTTCTAATCACTTATTGTGATAAACAAAGGCACCATCAGTATAGAAACCTGGGTATCCCGGGAAAACAACTTACTATTGTCGCATTCTGGTCAGTACGACTTCATCTTCTTAACTCCACTATAGCATATGCTATCGAGACTTTAATGGCGGAAGAAGAGTTTAGTGCTTCAGAGTATACATCTGGCATAGAAGTATTCAGACACGCTTAGTGATCTTGGCATCCAGAAAAACACCATACAATTAGATTAGGACAAAGTCGTCCCTAGAAAAGAGTATCCGGAACTTTCAGTTTACAAGGAATTGTCTACACTTAGGAGAACTAACAGATATTTTTGAGGTTACAAGTGTTGTTGTTTTTAACTGCTTAATAATCACACAAAGACCTATCGATCAAGGTATGAGATTGGTTACGAAAATATATAGATAAACGCAATCAGTATGTGTGACCTGAAGAAAACACAAACAAGATGTCTGCGGAGGCTGCAAACAGACATAATGCTTATGTTCAGTAGGAGTGATTTTCAACTCACTTCGTTAGTTTTACATACGTTCATCTTCACTCGTTTAATCTCGTCAAAACTTTCCTAAGTTGCACAACTATACAGGACAGTTATCAGAGTTGATTTATTTGTAAAAAAAAGGTTAACAAAGCACAAACAACCAAGTTACGAATAGACTACAACACTATCATCACCAGTGGAAAAAAACATACCTTTGACGATAGTAGGTTCAATAGTAGCAGGAGGTGAAAGTGCAGGATAATACCCATCAGCTGAATGAAAAACAAAACAATAGAACCAAACACTTAACAAAATCAAGACAAATAAACGACAGTGTACTGATCTATTTCGTACTTTTAGTCCAAAGCCAATCATTTGAACTTTTTATACTACTATGCAAAAAATTAATAACTAGCGTAGTGAAAACGAAAAGCTAGTCATACAGGTCGCTGGCATACAAACAAGATTATATCCCGAACAACAATTCAACACGACAGTACATTCATAGACAATCATGAGAATAACTAGATTTGGTTAGATAGTTGAAGAAAAATCTAGACACCAAAATCGGAATAAGATAATACAAATACCTTTTGCCGGCATGAAAACATTTCTAGAGTTTGACACGATTCATTTCGTGTTCGCATGATCGACATTTCCTCCCAAGAAGTAGTAGCATAAAAAACCTTTGGAAACTAACTGTCGGAATCAGCAATGAACACGATGCAAGAATGCACACACTCCGCACACAAGATGATATGGTAGGTAACAGTAAGCTTGGTGTTTAGTGACTAATCATTCCAAAGAATAAGACATAACAGAGGTGTAAATTTATTTGTCCCCACTCCCTGTATCACAGACGTGTTAGAATTATTTAGAAAAGTGAATACTATAATCCCCTACCCTATCTCTTTCTAATTTATGCCAAGAGTTTAATATTATTTACACCTAAAAAACTGAGTAGTTATACTGTTGTCTACGCGAATCGAAGGAACAACTGGCACAGTTTGCACTGGCTGTGAATTTAGAAAAAGATGAGCAATCCAAGAGGCAGCTATCGGATATGAGTTGAAATGGTCAAATAATTTTTTCTTCTCCATGGATAATGCACGTGACCAACAATTCCTAAATATAAACATCATTCATTAAGTTAAAAGGTAGGTGTTGTCACATCCATAAAGCTTGATAGCTTTAAAACCAGATCTATGGTCTAGACTTGTGATTTTGAACATCAACTGAAATATACTCAGAGCTTATCAAAATCAAACGCAACATGGAACTATCTCATTGATTTAGACAGTTGATTTTCAACTAGTGGGTCGCAGGTTCGAATACCACTCCACCCACCGAGGTTTGGACATACATGTAGTGACATTAGCTCTTACACAATAGATGTGGTCTACTGAACAAACACATACAGGGTTGCTGAGTGGGTTTATTTTTTATCACTTTTTCAGACAACAATTTAATAATGACCTTTTACTTCCAGTGTGCTCTTTCTGGAAGTGTGAGATGATTAATTGGTTCATAAATTTACGAAAATTAGTGGCTTATTGGAAGCAAACTAATGTTACTCTATGAGGTGGTGTTTTGCTGTCTATTACTGTGACACGTGAATACTTCGTTCCACTCATTTTAAGCCTGTTACAGATTAAGAAAGCATTTCCCAGTAGCTATAACTTGGTTAGGTATGTATGGTTTGAAATTCCAACAGACTTTTCACAAGAAAAATTTTGAATGGAGTATGCTAAACATTGGTTGAAATCAGCACCAACATGGGGGTTGAATTCCATTGCTGCGATAGAGTGTGATTCCATGTTGAACATGTTTATTTGATACAGTGCACAGTGATACAGTACTATTTATCCAGTAATTATTTTTATTATTTGCCCAGTAAATAAAACTGTCATTGTGCACTATACCAAATAAACAAATTCAGTATGAAATAAACATCAATCCAACTGCCTCAAAACGAGTTGATTATTCCCTAGTTCCTGAAGACATTAGTGACATACAGAATGCATGAGTAGTGTTGAGCTTGTGTAAGTATGCTTTTTACCGAATACATTTCACAGCGTTTTTACTTCGATAGCATGTCCCCTTGTAGTATTTTTCAAGTGTTCAGATTATTTTAAAACCACAAGAAAAACGGATACTTCAGCCACATTTCTTCCAACAAATGCATTTATTTCTTGTGTGCTAGTATTTCCCAAACATTCGATTTTTTGTGAGCTACAGGTGACGTCAAACACTTTCGCTAAGCAAACTCGGGATTACTGATAGTCAATATGCATAACTGTGAGAAGCACTAGGATAGTGTGAAAGCAAAACCTAGGGTGTTAAGAACTATTGTTAAATGTCCAATTCTCTTTTCGAAGAGATAAATTAACTGCACTCTTATCTTTACAATCGTAGTGAAACATTGGGTCGAACACAGCGAAACCTTCAAATGGTACGAAGTAGCTTTGCAGTTCTTTAACTGAATACACTTGTAAAACCGGATTATTACAGCTATTAAATAATCGATGGCAAGGATAAGGTACAAAAGTCAACTAGAGCTAACAAAACACTTGCAGACTAGATTCAATCACCTTTTTGAGGTTAACAATATGAACAACGAACCTTACAACTAATCATCAACATCAATTTCGGAGTTGCTTTAAAAAAAGTATGCGTTTCAAAACTCGCCAGTGGATGATTTTGTTTCTAAAGACATAAAACCGATAATCACTGGGACAAGCCAAGGATAGACTTTTGATAACAATTTATATTCAAGTAGGAAGTATGGTTTCTATGATCACCACCTGTATTTTGAAACATAAAAACACACTGCAGTATCACCTCGGTGATATTGGTTACAATCGTCTGTAATAGATTGTAAGGTTTATAAGTGCATCACTTTCGTATGTATTTGGCTAGCAAATACAGCCAGCCTTTATCGCAATTGACGACAGTTGTGAAGTGTCTACTTTCATGCTCATTATACATCTGCTTTCAAAACCATTTGTCCAGTATGAGAAAAACTCGTAGAGAGCCAATAAACATGTAGTACGTGGGTAGTCTTCTTGAAAGAAAAACGAGATCACACAAATTACTTTGGATGGTTGGATGCAAATCATACAATACGCTATATATGGGTTTAGTATCTTGAAATAATGTCGCAGCAATGATTTGTCTCAAAAAGAAGAAACGAATATACTAGACATCTAACCAACTACACCATAATAAAGAATGCACTCGTGACACTACGGATGGTAAAAACTCGACATAAAAAACAGATGGAACTACTTTTTTTAACCTTTAATTTGTATGGGATGAATAAGACTGTCTCCTAGCTTGGTAGCCACACTGCGAAATAACCGATCAAGTCCGATCAGCATTTAGGACTAGACAAAATGAGGTTAGCTGCCCTCCAGTAACCAATTATTGTACACAATCCAGTCCTACACAAGATCAGTCACCACCCAAATAGCTCAGTGACAATGTTTCCGACTGCAGCACTAGGTGACGCGGGTTTCAGTCTTAGGCGAAAAATTATTTCAGTGGAGGTTGCAGATACACCTTCCTGATGAGTAACAAAAAGCACAAAACCTAAGTCCAGGGTCTTCCGCCGATTGTCTCCATCCAACTAACAATCAAAACCAGTTGGTAGTTGACATGGGAAGCGACTATATGTTGTCATTACATTTGTCAATATTTAGAGGACCATAATAGGAATTTATCAAATTATTGGTGCTTGACTAATTGTTCGAATATTACTTGCATTTAATAAGCACTCCTGAAGCCAGAAGCAGCGCACTGGGAAATGGACTTACTTCGAAGAAAACAGGTCAACTGAAACATTCAAGTTGTGTATTAAAGTAATCACCTTCAATATTTAAAATTGGATGAATTGACAAGCAAGCGAAAAATCTAGATTAATCATAGGAAAACGTAAACAACTTGAGTAGTGAAGGAATATTTTAGCTTAAAAACAAGCCTTTCAATGATGATAAGATCCAGTAGCTTAAGATGTTAAAATCTATAATCTAAGTCAGTTTTCAGAAGAACAGAAGAATACAAAGGCCCTGTTTGATATTTTCTCGGTGGTGACTAGCAATGGAAACCAGCACGCGCGTTTCGTCCTATTCGGGACTCGTCAGCCAGATGTACCCACCAGAAAAATAATATAAAACGAAACTTGAGGCAATACTGAGGAACCCATTCAATGAACCTATATGCTAGGAGTGACCGATTAATTCAATCCAGTATAGCAGTCAACCGGAAGTTACAAGCGACAGTAAATAACAAAGGTTTTTTTTTTACAAAAAAAACTGCTTTTTCTTGGAGTTATTTGTGTCGCAGAGGATGACGATTCAGAAAGCCACCATTATTGAGAGATTTCATGTTGTTAGTGTTCATGAGTTTTCCCATAATAGAAGTGCTATCCTTTATACATTAAACTAACAAAATTATCCACTCAAACAATATTAAAACGGCAATCTGTACTTACTGTAATCAGCAGTCATGTACTTTGAATCGAAAAAGGGTTTCTGACCTGAATATTCATCAAAAGTTTTGTGAGATTTCTTTAACGCGTTAAATTGAATTCGTTGCGAAGTAACTACGAAGTAAAAGATAAATCAAAATGATTAAAGTTGGCCCATACTAACATTTCTAAAGTTAGGACGAAATGGTTAAACATTCATACTGATATATTGTTTTGGTAGATATATATGGGTGGATTCTTGAACAATAATCTTGGGTTCCACCCATGAGGGTCACTCGGTTCCTAGAAAACAGCAAAAAAAAAGCGGCCAAAACGACAGTTTTATTATCAAGTCAAACGTGTACAAAAAGTAATGGCTTATATACATTTTTTGATGACCTTGGTATGTTCTATACTTTTCTAGGAAGTCCTCTAGCCAATCTGAGATTCACACGTATGATCATGTGGTTTTTCGCGAACGCTCGGCACGCCATGATTGGTTGTGAAGGCTTTCCAGGGAATTCCAGGCTTATTTGAGGAATCTGGGAAATATTGTCACACTCGATACATTCATTTATCACAACAAACGATGAGGTATCACAATAAAACATTGATAATTCCATATTGACTTTTCAAGTAGTTGACATCCAACATTCTTACTCATTATATTCATGCTAATCTAGACAGTGCTGACAAAGAGAACAATCTTCAAGATCACTAACCTCTAAACTTAACAGTAGGAACTTTCTTAGTCCTTTTCCACGAAGAGTACCTACATTTCGTGTTGCAATAATTGTCACATAAAGGGAAAGTCATAAATATACCAGCCTTTATATAGCAAGCACTACGAGTAGTTGAATTTTAGAAATAAGTTTAAGTCGCTTCCTGACCAATTCAAAGAATAACAATGCTACTTCTTTATAACGAAGCATTTGAGTAAATTTCTACTAAAGTTACTATTTTCGAGGTGGAAAACGATGACGCTGCTCATTTCATAAAATCAGAAGTTTATAACAGTTGGTTGAAATATAGTATGTGGAACTGGGTTTGCATTTGTCTATTATCAACAGTGAATTCATATGGAAATTATACTAAGTACAGTTTTAAAATTGAATGCAGCTATTAATACTGGAACAAATTCAAAGGTATCCTGGTGAAGACAATGAGGAAATACTCAGAAATCATGTGCACCACATTGGAAATAACTCACCATCATCTATTACATCGTTTGAGTCAATAACGGTAATCAAATTCTCCCTCGCACATAACTGATAGCAGCGACGAGCAACAAAGCCGGATAAATCACGAGCCATTTCTGCTAAGTTCATTGTCTGTCCTAGAAGGCGAGCAACCGATCCTGCCGGATCCAGCCAATCCAAATCAGGTTCAGTAAAAGCAGAAGCAGATCCAATAATGCTTCGACCACCATTAGAACTCGGAGCAAAAACCAAGAAAGGATGACTCATGGAAAGGATTAGTCTTGGAAGAGAATATGTAACATATGAGTTAGGGACCCGGAAAGGTGATATTATAGGTCTGGTTTCAAACAGATTGGGATGGTTGCAAACTTTGCGCAATTGCATGAGTATATTCATAACCGACAGAAACTGACCCGATTTCAGTGTTTCTTGTGTGCTAAAAAATGAATACAAAAGTTTTAAACCAAACAATGAAAAGTAAACTATTACGATGAACTATTAGAAAACCTGAATTTCGACGTTTAAAGGGGAAAGTTTCTGTATACGATCAAATAAAATGGTTCACCTTTATTTGAATTCAAGGGGAAAAGATAACACGGCCAACAATGTACAACACTAATGCAACAAATCTTGTTCAATAAATTGTAATATCATGATCGACTACAGATTTTCAGTGGCATATTATTCGATCGTATCTGAAACAAGAATAATTATAGCACAACCATGATTGAGGCACCTTGAAGAAGAAATGGAGAAGTTAAAACCAAATTAACACAACTTACCTCCCAAGAGACATAAAATCATCATATAAAAATCGCTGTCTTCGTGATAGTCTGCACATAATAACATGTTCAAACTTCTTAGGAAGTTGACGTTCAACATCTGCTTTGAGGCGTCGTAGTAAAAAAGGACGCAGGACTTTATGCAACCTTTGAACGAGAAGGTCATTATGATCAGTGTTTCCTTCGATCATCCCTACAGAAAAAATAAGACGTTATTTTTAACGTAAGTAGCTACAGTGATGGAATTTGGCTGCCAAACTAAACTGAACGATTTTCATAACTAGTTATGAAGTACGTGACTAAAGTTTCATTTCTTAAGAAATTAAATAGGAAAATTGTCAGAAACCGCATATAAAGCTGAGGAGCAACAATGGCGAAATGCTGACACGAATAAAGTCTAAGATGACCCTAAATAATTTACTGTGCAACAAATCTTAGACAACTTAAAAGTATTTTGACGGTAGCAATCACTATGTGTAAACTAAGTATCAATTAGTGTTCATATTTTAGGTGAATCAGCACTAATAAAAGTAGCTGAATACAGGAGGTAAATACTTCGGATACCAATATCCAATTAAATTAAGCCATCATTTGTTAAAATAAAATGAATATGTTAAAAGCTTGCTTTCCTATGCAAACCCACTGAAACCATCATCAGATGTTGAAATAGGAGGGATCCTGACATGCTTCAGTATCGCTAACTCGATGATTCCACGAGGCATAGACTAAGCTCAGTTGGATCCAAATGACAAACAGTATACTTACACTTTGACAGGGATTCGGGTATTTGGGTAATATTACTGATGAAATGCACTGAGAAGTGTCACATGAACTCTCGGCATCAGAGCTGAGTTCTTACCACCAAACAGCACAGTAAGAGTCAACATAACTTACAGAATAAGTGGTTAATAGACTCAAACTAGGTGACAGTGAATGAAAGTACTGCAGTATTGTCATGCAATTGGTCCTAAATATTTCTAGACTGATTAAATACTTCGTGTTGCCAGCATACGTACCGACTAGAACTATGTTACATTTCATCAAACGATATTCCAACATATAAATCCTTCAGAATTTGCAGGTAGACAGAATCACATTTGTATAAGGAAAAACTTGGGTACTGTGGTAGGATATAATTTTACTTGTAAATTATACGGTATCACTGTGTGCTACATTAAACAAATAATCTAATATGAAACAGGACAGATAAAAAACCTGGCAACTGTAATTGATGGCGATGCAGCATGATTCGCCGGACTTCCCAACAAAAAGACAACATACGCAATCAAAAGAGAGCAGATAAGAATGAAACTGTAGTTTTCGAATCAAAACAAAGAGTGAATACAACAACAGATAATTTCCAGTTATACCTCTTAATCCTTTCAACCAAAGTTTTATTCTTAAGTGTTTTCAGTCAATCATTTCTATCATCTTGGTGATCATATTACATAGAAATGCAAAAAGCATGAAGTGATACATGAAGAGTATCAAGTAAACGAGGTAGATCAGTCACTGAAGTTATGAACTTCCAACCAGTAGTTTGCACTAGTCTAGTCATTCCAAATAACGGTGAACCATGTAAAGGAAATCAGCATTATTTGGGATACAAACAGACAGAAAGAAAAACGTGGGATTCTCCACGAAAGTGTATCAGATCAAGTTGTAATACTTCATAAAAACACAAAAACAACCGTTGGATATAAATTCAACGATATTACGACAAACAAGGGTATGAGGGAAAAAATAAATGAAGATTAGTAAAAACGTTCAGAAATTTCATGATAAAGAGTGAATACATCTGAAGCATTGTGATCGCTTTACATATGTGTCACAAAAGTTTGCAATTATTAGGGTTAAACGTCGAAAACCCCAGCTGGGTAACCTGAAATTATCTAGACGACGGAGACCATCAAACAATGGTCTAGTGAGTCATTGTCATGTCTTAAATTTTTTAAACTTAATAATAGTTCACTTAATGTTAAAACAACGACACATGCATTCACGACATATCTTCATTTACAAAATTCAGGATCGAAATTTGACCTGAGACAGTCGAATAAGTTGAGCATTAGGTAAATGAATTATAGATGAAACACGTTTGTAAAATCCCAGTGAGGCAAAAAAATAATTCCCCATATTAGATTTCTATATTTGGTTTGTAACACGGTTGTAATACTGTATCACTGTATTATAAATCAAATACACGAATCTAATATGGAATTACATTCTACCACAGTGTCCAAGTTTTTCACTTTTATTAATGGTAGTAAACTAAATTTCTGACGTTTCACGACCTCGTGGAAATCGCTTCTTCTGAGAATAACTAGGCACGCAATGGTCTAAGAAATTGTCATTAAAAATATGAGGAAATAGAAATGGCCTCATCTCTGGACCCAAAAAGGAAATGAAGAAGAGATTTCTGTGAAGTCTCGAAACGTCAGAAATTTGTTGTTTGTTTTTTTTTACCTCGTTGGTATGTTACAAATACATGTCACCTATATCTTCACCTACTTTAGAATTTTATTACGAAACACCATCATTTATGTTGCTTTTTTACTTTATTTCATTAAAATCAAACCGCTGGATAATGAAGATAGTAAGCTCTCTTGAGATGACTTGGGATAAACAATCAATCCAGTTCCGCAGTAAAAAAAATAGTATGAAATCTACAGGACCTCTTTGTCTACATGCTATTTCTTTTACACAATAGATATGGTGCAACTTACGGTAGTGGTTTAACAACAAAATGAAAATTTCACCTGCACAGTTCCTCACTAAAAAGTAACTTTGCCCTACTACATGAAAGATAGATGGGTACAGAAATTAACTTAGAACCTTGCACAAAAGTGTATTGGTTCACGCTGCCACACCTGAAGACAGAACATAAAAAGGAAATGACCACGAGAACCGTATAAGAATAGATAAGGTGTACGACAGGAAAGGTAATAAATAAATTTAGGTCAACAAAATGTTTAGAAATTTCTCACCATTGTACTCTATTTTGAACCATATCAAGAGTACTGAATGAAATTTTTATAAACATACTAAACCTCAGCATATGGATATATATATATATATATATATATATATATATATATATATATACTTTGGGAAATTAGATGTTGCATTAAAAAATGACTTGCCTGTGATAGGTGACGCGAACCATTCTTGAAAATCTCGATGAGATTGGAATATATTTGGCATCAAGAAATGCATTAGAGACCAAAGTTCCATCAATGAATTTTGTAACGGTGTACCAGTAAGGAGCAAACGCCGCTGACTATTGAAGGTAAGTAGAGTTTGCCAACGCTGAGATTTGAAATTTTTAATGTTTTGAGCCTAAATAAAATAATTAACAGGAGAATTGCAGATAAATTAAGATGAATACTAAAGCACAATCTAAATAGTTGTCTAAAAAGAAGTGAAACACTAAATGGAGTAGCGGAAAACTCTAGTCACCCGAGTACCCCAGTATATTCCAGCAGGAATGATGATGATTAAAATTAGGATGAGTCGGGACCGTAGGAAATATATTTATAGCAAAATAAATTCACCGGGAGTATTTCAAACGAATCTCTTCATTCAGCAAGAACGAAACAGCAAATAATAAGTGTATAATCCAACAGAAATGCAAGTAGGCTTACCGACAAGCTGACAATTGCCATATTTCTTGGTCTGAAGGTAGTATTCGACTCTGTCGACCGAGAGGTGTAGTGGAAGTGTCTAACTGAAGAAATTGAAATGACAACTAGTGGTATTTATCACAGATATCAGCTGTCACCGCTCCTATCTAATTTCGTCATAGATGCATCAATAGAAATATTTCAAACACCTCTGGTTTCACACAAATTTACTAACTCCTTGAAGGGTATCTGGTTGACTCCAAGTACACAAACGAGATCATCCTGTTAGGTGAAGATATTGTCAAAATATAAACTCTACTGAATCTCTTGAGTAGAAATATGTGTAACTGGTATGCGTTTCTCGCATCTGTCAAACAGATGATGTTTCGCATCTGATCTATAGCTACTCCCAGTTCAAGGATAGGCAGTGAACTGGTGCAATGTATCGACTACTTCACCTACTTGTGAAGTTGTATCAGTTCAAACGGTTTGGATGCCGACAAAATCTCAGCTTGGATACAAAAGGCTCATTCGGCACATGTTACACATGTCGTCGGTGGGATATCCGACTACCCATTCAAAGACGGGTATACTGCACTGAAGTTTGGTCCGTGAGAAAGAATCTTCAAAAGTAGATGTGAAGAGACTAAAGGGTCTTCGAACATCTGTGTCTTCGCAGCATTTCCCATATATGGTGAGATCAAAGTGTGAGCAATGTCGAGGTTAGGTGTAGGGTATAAAGCAAGGAAGGTAAGTCAGTAGATGAAGTTGTGAACCTTCACTGACTGAGATTGCTGGGACATATATGTGTTGTGCATGCCAAGGTAACATCCACCTTGAAGTACAATGTCAGCCGAAGTAGGATTTCACAGAGGGAAAGCTGAGGGTGATCAGATCAAGACGTGGTACCATTTGATGAAGCTTTTGATTGCTGGTCTAAATGGTGCATGAAGTTGTAGACTATCTGGTTGTGGTACTCGAGAAAATAGGAATCAGTGGCAGAAAATTTTGCTGATAACTCTGGAAATCGGTCGGAATGGGACAGATGCATTCACTCTTTAAGGTCTTCAAAAGTTTGACCATTTTCATTGACCTTTTATTTCTCAATTTTTTTCTGCTCCCGCAGGCTGTTGTCTGCTTTGATATCACTTATTTTACACACATGATTTGCATGCTGCCGTGAAGCGTGGTAAATTGAACTGATGCAGTTCTGTGATACGTTCCAAGTAGATTTTGTATTTTCTTAACCTTACGATTATGTACGAACTTTAGAAGCTTTGAAATGTATAAGTAATATGATTTCACTTGAGATGATTAAGTCTACAAACGGAATTAGTCAGAGTACGTAAAAAATGGCATGAATGGAAAAGAATCACACACACAATATGCACTGAATTTGTCCAGAGTTCAACAAATCTAACACAAACTGATTACATTTCAATCTCAAAAATATATTCGAAATGAACAAGTTGCGTTTTGCTAACCTCCCTGTTTGGAAGGAAACGTGTAACAGCTGGACCAAGCATCATCATATATCATTAAAGCTCATCTACGCAACTGATAAAAGTTGCAATCCCAGAGAAATGTTGCTTTGTATTATCAGTCTACGGAAATATTATTCCAAAAAGTTATGGACAAAGGATAAGTACTAGCTGGAATCAACCCATTTTTCATTTTATGAGTGATAAGGTGACGAGAATATAAATCGACCCAGCGGGAGGCCGAAATGAGTTTTTACACAAGTCCCTATTATTGGAAAAATAAAAAATAATTCAAATATGAATTTTGGTAATTTCGCTTTGATGATTAAAGAAAACTGAGACATTATTTTTTCGCACTACCCTGAAATGTAGAAGAACTATTTTTTTTAAAAATGGTCTACTCACATATAGGTGATAGTCATGTGGCAAAATCATATTTCTTTGCTACATTACTTGACTGCGTACTTTCGATATTAAATGATCATAGAAACGACACTGACTCTTCCAAAACTCGAAGTTGGGAATAAATCTAAGACAGGTTTTTTCAAAACTTAAGGAAGCAGTCAGGCTGATCCACTTAGATGATTTTAAGTCAGTCTGGTGGTTTTCTCACATTGTACAGAGAAAAATGGAAGTTTTTGATTCAAAATTTAAAGGAAGTAGTCAGATCACAACATACTACCGTTTTCAATAAAACAGATGGTAGAAATTTCTGTGTATGTTTTATCTGATTGTGAAGCACCAATGTTTAGGCAAATAAATGTAAAATCACTAAAAAATCCTCAATCCAAATGTCAGAGATGCTCTCGCACTCCATAGCACAACTATAGCGTCCAAATCAAAGTTTTGCACTGAAAATGCATATAATTCGTAAAATAGAAGAATTACCTCGTCTAAAATAAGATATTTCCACTTTTTACGTTTGAAAGCAGTTGCGTCCTGAATCGCCAATCTGTACGAAGTGATACAAACATGAAAAGCATTTGTCTTTGTCCAACCCTGCAAAAGAAATCCAGAAAATTTAGGATTTATAAGATATATAATCATTTCAGTGGTCTAAATGATAGTTTGCACTCAAAGTAACTCAAAAAACTAACCTTTCTTTTGTGCTTTCTTTCTTTCATGCTACCAAAGTACGTTAGTATTTTGAAAGCTGGACACCAGCGCTTGAATTCTACTTCCCAATTAAGGATGACACTTGTTGGAACGACAATCAAATGTGGACCCCACACACCTCGCTCGCAAGCAAGATAAGCCAGCAATGAAATCGTTTGAATGGTTTTGCCTAAACCCATCTCATCAGCAAGGATTCCATTTAAACGCTTATCATAAATGGCGACTAGCCACGACAAACCAACTAATTGGTACTCCCGAAGGGTTCCCCCGGAGAGAAGAAATGGAGGTGATATGGTGGTCAAACCGACTTCTGAAGAAGTAGTTAGAGCTTCATTGGTAACAGACTACAAAAGAGAATTAACAACCAATAATTTGCTTTGGAAGGTAAATGCAGAAGTACTAGGGAGAATAAAAACAATTGGAATTTCGTACAAAAAACTATCTCCAAACAGAAAATATGCTTTAGAAAACTTTCAACTTTCTCCAAGGTTTATATTGATGAGAGTTCCGAACACCACCACTGATATTTACCCTAATGCCCTATGGGTCTGCAAATCACTTACTACAACCACATGTGTGTAGTAACTAACCTACCTGTTGTATGTTGACCTTAATAAGTCCCCTTACAATTGTCTTGATATTGATTTCTAATAAGGCCGTCTTACCTAATGCCGTCAGATGGCCGAAAATGGCTAAGGAAGAAGCATAAGTAATAATAGAAATGAATGGCCTACGGTGATAAATATTAATTGGTGGTTAAGATTGTTAAAAATGTGATCTTAGTCAAGCGCTGAATACATGCTAGAAACCAAGATGTGTATACTTTGCAACTTAATAGCACATGACTTATAAAAGGCTGTAACGGAAGCTATCAATCCATCCTAATAACAAATAGCAGTTTTTCATCACAGAGTAGGAGAATTTCATATATATGATGAACCCTATATAATAAAACTAATGCATGACCAAAAGAGGTTAGTTTCAACTGTTACAAAATTACCTCAATATTCTCCCCACCTGCAAACGTTTGGTAAGACTGTTGTGCTTCAACAGAGTTACTGTTAGCGGGTATCTTGTTAGTTTCATGCTCAGTTTCGGATGTATTATTGTTGGTCTCAAGCTCCACAAGTTCTATTAAAGACGATTCAGAATTGCTTTTAACTGAGGAAAATTCATTTGCATCAGAGTATTCTTCGTCTGTTTCACTATCGGTAATTTCATTCTCGCCAACTGATAGTGATTGTGAATTTGACCCTATATCAAATGCACTTAAAAATGCCCCAGAATCACCCTTCCCCTCGTCACGAGAAATGGTGTTTTTTATGGAATCTTCGACTGGCGTGTTTGATTCCAATTTAAGGATATCAGTTTCTTTATTTTCAGAATTAGATATATCGACTTCATTTTGAGTTTCTTCTAGGAGCTTACATTTATTCAGCGTTAGAGGAAAATATGTTATCTGGGTGCTACTAGTTTCTTTACTATTCTCCGTTGGCCATCGATGATCTTTAAGCTAGATATGAGAAAAAAGAAAGGCTTTTTCGATTAAAATAGTATTATGGACCTAACTATAGGAAATAATACAAATAAGATAAGGAGGAAAATTCATTTGAATCAACCTGAATAATACAAAAATCTCGTTGTTATGTGGTGAAAAATGAATGTTTAACTTGCACAACATAAAGCACTTCGGAATTCCGAGGAATATTTGAACCTGTGGTTGGATTATCAAATTCATACAACATATCTACACAATCAGAAATAATGGTAGAAACTTTATTAAAACTGAATTTTCGAAACAATTTCCTAATACATTAGACCTGTTTGTATTTACAATGAAAATAACTAATTTGCACGAGGATGCAATGTTTTCGACAGGGATTAACTAGTTTCACTATCACTATCAAATAAAAGTAAAACTTTATTACTCATAAAAAATATATGAAAACATTTACTTCACTGTCCAACAGATCCTGTCTTTCAGCAGAACATGACTGAAGGAAATCGAGATATCCTGGAGGCAAAAGATCCTCTAAGGGACAATTAGCATCAGCTTCTAACTCTGCAAGCTCGACAGTTGGAGATATCTTAGAAATTTGTTGTCCCTCTGAGGCGAATTTTTCTTCTTGTTCTATAGTCTCTTCATCATCCTCAGCTTCAGCAAGAGCTTTTTCATCTGCCTGGGAAAACGCGTAAGAACGATTTATGGTACACTTAAGATGTTTCTCTGCAGCAAAAAGTTGCGAAATAAATACTATAAACCACTAACACAGTTCATTAATGGAATCTTAGAGAAAAACATAGGGTTAATTATATCACACGCAAACAACTGTCATCTTTGATTGTCTACCAAAACGGTACAGTAACTTATACTTTAAAGTGAAGTTTATGCGTTATTTTGTGACGATCGAGAAAAAAGGATTTACTATCTCACTACTTGATGAAAGGAATGGGGGTGAACTCTTAACTTACATATTGTTATCTTAGACGCAGTCGATTGTGTAATAATTACATTTGAAGTGTACCCAATCCCTATCTGCCTCGACATACACTGTTAGCTGAAAAAAGTTGAAGGTAGTCAAACTAAAAAAATGCCATTAGTTCATGAAGTTTTTGACTATTGGTCTCAGCCACGTAGGGAAAAGTAGACTTGCCAGTTGAGGTTCGCTAGACAAGTGAAATTGGTGGTTAGAGATTCTAGGTGATATGCCTCAGTCGATCGCAAGGGCGCAGATGCATCGACACACTATCTTCACGTTAATCACCAAACCGAACTTCATTATTGTTTCATTCCTTCGCACTCTCTTTTCACAACTTTCTACCACTCTCGACTCCTACCTTCTTTGTTTCTTTATCTTTCACCTTGATGCATTCTTGTTAGATGTGTTGATATGAAGTGTGGCAACTCGGACCACTATGTATGAATTCCATGTCCTATGGTGATACTAACTGTAGAGTTGAGAAAATATAACACTAACGCAAGGTAATATACCACTTGAGCACAAGGAAAGACAGTTAAAGATGGTAAATGAGATGAGAGAGTGACACTTAGATTAACTGGTTACCGAAAAAGCCAGTTAGTATGCTAGTATGCAACTGTCATAGATTTTCGCCTTAAATATTTTTACTGCCCGTTTTTTATCAAACATTACTCAGTATTGGGTACTTTAATCACATCCATCCTCAATTAGCTAAGGTAAAACGAAATATTAAGCAACAGAAATCCTTATTTGAATGCTTTTTATAACGTCTTCCAACTTCTAAACAAACAAAACAAAAGTCTACGGGTTAACCATTTAAATTAACTCCTGTAAACGGTGTTTATCATTATGCGAATATTTTACACTCTTCAGCATACCAGAATCAAACAAACAGAGTAAAAGATTGTTTAGGACTAGAACCAAACTCACAACGAATTCTTCATCCGAGACATCTGGTTGCTTTAAATAAGATTTCAAATCGTGATTTTCACTAACTGAAATTTTTTCCTTCTGATTACTATTAGAAGTTGAGTTAATACTGCTAGCATTTCGCTTAGGCTTAGAAGTAGTTATCCCTTCGGTCAACCAACGAGTATATTCTTCAGTAGTTTCAAGCACCTGACCAAGATGAGAACAAATAGCTTGTTGACGTTTGGCTGTCAGGCGTACCTGCTGTTTGGCTTGAACAATCTGCACGGCAAAATTTTTAAAACATAGTATAAGAACATACCAGGGGAAGTAAATTATCAATTTTCAACATTTCATACTATTCTATCTAATAAGAAACTATGTACAAACCCATCCAATCACTAGACGTGTAGAACTAACAATTGTCGACAAAATAAGCACAAAAATGGAAAGCGAACAAATATTTGTCAGAAGTTATTAGTCCATAAAAATTCAGGAAAATGATTTGTAAAATGACATGAAGTTCATGACAAGAAAAGGATCATCTTAAAGAAACATCGATCACGAAAATATTTAGGTCATCCGGTCAAGGTAGTTCACATTTCGAAATTATCATCAGTGTATATTCGAAGAATATAATCATTATATATATTACATATCTTCATGAAACGACAGGAACATAGTTTTATTCACCTAATGATACCCCTGTATAGTCAAAAATTTGGAAGAAATGCCCTACAGACCCACTACGCTTAAAGAAGTTATAAAATATTCAAGTAATGCATACCTTGTCCATTTGACGCCACCAGTCGCGAACCATCCTTGCAATAAATGCGCATGTCTTCCGAACCCGAACAGCTTCCTCTTTTTCCATCTTTGTTGCTCGCTCACTTTTGTCTCGGTGGCATTTAACTGCAGTTAACGCAAGCTTAAAGAGCAATTTAACAAATAACCAGGAAAAATTCTGATGAACATCTAAATTAGTATATTTTAAAAAGAAATATAGACAAAAAAGTTAAATTTCTACAAAAGATTTGACAAGGTGACTTGAAACACAACTCAATTCATCATGTCTACACGATGATGGCCAAGAATATGCAAAACAAACGACTAGAACATACCTTTTTTGCGGAAACTCGTTTCCATTGACGTTCCCGTTTGAAATCCTCAGCCAACCAATTAACTTCCGCAAACATATAGTCACTAAAAGTGCGACATGTAGGCTCAGGTGGTGGAGCTAAAGAAATATTAGTTGGGTTGTCGTTGCCAGGTCCTGCTGCCCCACAGGAGGAATCGTCAGCTGACCATAAACCAGCACGTTTAAGTTCCAACACACGTTTAAAAACGTTCACTTCTTCCATTGCACATTTCAGGAGAGAGTTTTCATCTAACCGTCGCTGTAAGATACCAAACGCAAATCATACCACAATGAATCAACTGTCTGATTAAATCATTAGGTATTTCACAACACTGAATACCGTCGCAGTGAGAAACACTCGTTCAATAGAGAAACCTTCACTCAAAACCTCATCAAAGATTAGCCAGAATATTAAAAAAACAGAACCGCAGACCAATACCACTTTTCAGTGGATGCGACTCCAAAGCTGAATTGGTCTACTTAACTGACAGAACAGCGAATAACGCCAACCAATAAAAAACAAGTATTTACATTGCACCATGAACTACGCCTGCTTTTGCAAGGGTTTGTGATACTATCCGACTTTTGAACTCAAAGTTGGTAGATATAAGTTTATGTTGTGAGCCAAAGGGTCCAGTCAAACTGGTTTACTTCACTGATTATCCCAGTATATAAGAATTGGCGGGAATGTTCCTGTGACAATTACAGAGGAGTTAATTTGACTACGATCGTGTCGAAGATCCTAGGATCCATAGTAATCCGACACCTAAGTGGAGCTAGAAAACAATAAACTCCAGAAAATCAGGCAGGTTTCAGACCTGGACGAGGGCGCATCGGTCATGTTTCCAACCTCCAACAGGTCCTGAAACATAAGCATACTTACTGGCGGTCGACGATTGCCATATTCATTGACCTGAAGGCAGCATTGGACTTTCGACCGTGAAGTGTGGTATTGCTTGACTGTAAAGGGAGTACCGAACAAGTATGCAACGCTAGCCAAAGCTCTCTACTCGAACTCACGCAGCCGTTTACTGGCATATGGAGAATTGTAATCTAAATTGACTAGTGGCGTACGGCAGGGATATCTGCTGTCACCGTTTCTACTTAAATTCGTTATAGGTGCATTAATGAACATAACCTTAGGTAATTGACTTAACATGAATCGACCTACTCCTTGGAGGACGCTTGGTTGACTACGGTACCCAGACGACATTGTCACGTTAGGTGAAGCGATGGACAAAATGCAGGGTCTCCTGAACGCACTAAAGAGGAATCTGCTTGGTATGCATTTCGCACCTGTCAAATATAAGATGCTTCACGATTGGCCTGTGACTATTCCTAGTTCAAAAGATAGGGAGTGAAGTGGATGAATGCGTTGACCATTTCACTCACTTGGGAAGTTGCAAAGACTTGGCTGCTGACGAAATCTCAGATCGCAAACGAAAAACCCATTTGGAACCTGCAACTTGAGTCATCTCTGGCGCCGATTGGCGAGACATCCGACTGTCTGTCAAAGGACGAGTATGCTGAGCTGCATTCCGTTCTATGCTGTTATATGGCTGTGAGAAATGCCCGTTAAAAGCAGACGTAAAGCGGTTACAGGTTTTCGACCACAGGTGTCTTCGCAGCTTTGGTCGCGTTTGGTGTAATCATCGTGTGAACAATGATGAGGTCAAGCGAAAAGTAATGGATAAGGCAGGCAAGCATGAGTTACGGGAGCCCTTGACATGACAAAAGTGAGGCTTATATTGACCTGTATATCTTTCTTCAGGGATTGAAAGAAATTTAGGGCTGTAAATGCAGCTGCTGACATCGTCTGGTTTTCTTGTTGGTCAAAATCAATGCCGTTATCAAAATTTTTCTCGCAACGTCCTCATACACCACAAACCAGCCATAAAAGACATTATATATGAGAACAAACCAGTAAGTAAATAATGACACAAATAGAGGGTTTAAAAATCAAAATCTATTAATCACCTCATCGTCGTCGTCTTCAGAGTCATGCTCCAGTGTTAGCTGCGGTGGTAAACTAGGGTTAAACGAACCATTAGGCGGGAAAACTACATCGCCTGAGATATGGCCGGACATGAATTCACTGACTAGCGCGAGATCCTCTGGATCGAGATGACCAGAGCACAGGGCCTGCATTAATTCTTGCGTATTCTTTCGTCTCCATTCATAAAACTCGATCAAGAGAGAACCACTTTGTATAAAGTTCAGTTCGACAACATCTTCATGATAGAAAGACTGAACAGTGCTGAGCACTTCACGGATCAAACAAATCACTTTCCGACGTAGTTCTAAGGATGTAGAAGGAATTTTTGTGTCTAGTCCAGAAATATTTACACTGCAAACGCTGGAATTCGGTTTTGTTTTGATATCTTGATTAAAATTGGCTTCAACCATGCTATTGTCTCATTAGAAAGTCAAAAGGAACTATTAGTGAAAAAAAACAAAAGAACAGGAATAAAAGTTACGAAACAATTATGAAACTATCAGGGATTAATATTACAGTATGCATCTAACAATAGAAACTTTCCAACTGGATAAAATTGTCACTTACAATGAATGAACTATTGCGTTAAACAGTCCGAAATATCCAAAAGTAGATTGATACGTGTAAACCCCTTCAATTTGGTTCCACTGACTATAACCCCATCGGAAAAAACATACTAATATTCTCCTGAAGGTAACAAAACAAGGGACAAACTTAAGTACTGTCCCACCGAAAGACGTATTCAAACACTTTTCAATGAACAATAGTAAAATTCAACTATCTCTACATTAGCCTTTTTGACACAATGATTGCTGTCATCAAATGCATAGAAAACAGGAATCAATGAAATATTTTAGTTCACCATCCATTTTTAGTTTTCTTCTCGGAAGTGGCTGCAAATGCATGCCCTTTTTCGAACTTTAGGTGTATAGAATACGACATTCTTCCAAACAGGCCAGTAACATATCTTCTTATTCATTAATTTACCTTAGATAAAACCCACTACCGCTAAATCATAACCCAACATATGGGTGAAATTAGCAAGAGAATGCCTCAATAAAAGATCGATTGTTCTCTTCGTATTAGCTGATATGACCATCATTAGGCTATTAAACGTAATCACATTTCGTCTCACATATAAATGCATGTGAATGACCATAGAATTGAAGCTAGTTTCGAGAATTATGGATTCTGGACGGAGGAAACGCATGAAAATTACAGAGTTTCTATAAGATCGACACTCAGGTTAATCAGCAGTCAGATGTATGGATATGGACAACACATGGCGTCCAATTCCTACCATACTTACCAGACAACTCAGAAAAGTAGTGGCTTAACGCCAAAGCCGAATTCCAAGAACTGGCAGTCATAGACGTTTGTTCTGAGTTTCTCACTGTCATACTACTACCACCGCAAGAACAACATTGGTAACTAAAAGTACGTAGGCGTAACCCTGGAGTAGGTGATCCCTGTGCACTGAGCAAAGCAGTTCCTTCGAAGAAAAGCAATCTCCCGGATCGCAAATGCTTAGATGAATTGCTGAGTAACGATTTGGCTACTTACATGCTGGCACGAATGTAAAAGGTTATTGGCCAGCAGGTGTTCGGTGATGGCCTTCAATGCCAACTTCTTTTAAAACTCGAACAGGAGTGTAGGTCGAGTTGGTGACACTTAATCTGTTGCCATCGACGACCTGGCAGTCTAAGGTGGTAAAATATTGAAGATCTCTTACACACCTGTCTCCAACGTGAATTCTGTTGACGAAAGACTTAAGGGTCGAGATTTACCGATGACAGGGCTACACGACTCTGTTTAGCTGCTCCTGCAGACCCAAAGCTCCTGGCAGCAACAGACAGCACAGCAACAGCATTCCATTGCAGTCTTTCTGATGTCCGCACGACAGCTACGTCTTGCAGGACAGAACACCCTAAATGGTGTTGTTGCTGCCGTCACAACTATGGTAAAGAAGCAAGAAATTGTCGAAAGGCGTTGACAGCAACCGTATCAGATGGGTTAGGCCACTTGTTGTACGTCACGAACGGGAGAACGAGAGTTCACTGCCTTGTCGACGCTGGTGCGGAAGTTAGAGTACTTCCAACAACTGCGAACGAAAAAGTTCACCACAAGTGTTTTCACCTGCCAGAAGTGAACGACAAAGCGACCACAGCCTCCGGAAAAATCAATTCAGTGTCAACTCAAGTTTACGCAAAACTGTTTACCTCCTTTCTTTTGGCTGCTTTTGCCGTTCTAATGCCAGGTACAGAACAACTCGACGATTACGACCTGCTCGTAGATCTAACTTGGCGACAACTTATAAATGACAACAGGGTGTTATCTGCTGATGAAACCCCATAAGTAGGCACAAGTTTCGCCTTAGTCTTAACGAAATACTCATTTGACAAATTCAGTCGAAGTTTTAGACGAACATCTAGAGAGGAAAACAGACTTAAAATTACTCGTGCATGACCATCAGCGTTATGTTTTCCTTAACAGTCACAATCACCCTCGCCATAATCGTCATCAGCATGGGAGCAGGCATTACTGCCTAACGGTCCGAGTTGCCACACCTCATATCAGTACACCAAGTAAAAAGGCAGTGAAGTACAAGATGAAGACAAGAAAGTTCAGTCAGAAGAAATATAAAGTACTAAAAGAGAGAAAGGAAGAATGAGAAAATGGTGAGATTGGGTGCAGCGTCGTTAAGATGAGGATAATGGGTGTATACATCCGCGCCACTGACATCGGTCCCGAGCCATATCACCTAGAGCCCCTAACCACTGGTTCCTCTTGTCCCGCGAACCCCAGCCGGCTAGTCTACATCGCCCCTACATGACTCAAACCAACAGTCAAAGGCTTCATACATTGGTTCTATGTTTTAGTCTGGCCACCTCGGGCCTTTTTCTACCCTGAACCTACTTTGGCCAACATTGTGTGACGAGGCAGGCGGCAATTAGGCATGCGTAACATGTGTCCTAACCATCTCAGTCGACGAAGGCTCATGACCTCGTCAACCAACTTACCTCTTCTCCCTATAACTCTTCACCTAATTTCTGCATCACTCACTTGGTGATATGGAGGAATATGGCCCATACTTCGAAGGCAACGGTGGTCAAACACCTCAAACCTTCTCATGTCTTCCACCTTCAATGGCCATGTTTCACAGCCATACAGTAGAACAGACCGGACTGCTGTGAAGCATACTCGACTCTTAATATACAATCGATATCACGGCGGCGCTACATGTGACGAAAGCCAACCGAGTCTTTTGTATCCGTGCAGAGATTTCATCGGTCACTAAGCCACCAGGACTGATCCTACTTCCCAGGTAAGTGAAGTGGTCAACACACTCAACCACTACACTCTATTGTTAGCCAAGGGACTGTTGAAGACCAATCCTGGAGCAACAATTTGCAGTTGGGTGGTGAGAAACGCATCCCAAACATTCTCAAATTGCAGCTCAAAGTGTTCAGAAGATTCTGCATCTTGTCAGCATCACCTAAAAGGACTATGTCATCTGCGTGTTCCAGGTCTAACGAAAATTTTCCGTGGTTAGATCAACCTTTGCGTAGTCAGGTGGCGAAAGGGAGACCTTAATAAGAATATCTATGATAAAATTGAATAAGAATGGAGACAGTGGGCACACTTGACGGACACCACTCGACGAGTACAGCTCCCCGGATATCCCACCATAGACTCTAACACGCCCACAAGTGTTCGAGTAGAGATCCTTCAATAAGGTGGTGTACGTACTCGGCACGCCTTTCAGTGAGAGACATTGCCATAAGACTTCTCGATCAACAGAGTCGAATGCCGCCTTCACGTCGAGAAATACAGCTAGTGTCGGGCGTCGATAGGAGTGCCTGTGTTCCGGAGCCTGGCGCAGTGTGAATATTTGGTCGGTACACCTGAGGCCGGGTCCAAAGCCTGCCTGGCTTTCTCGGGCTTGCTGTTCTCGAGCTCCACTCAGGTGTCGAAGAATTATAGAACCTAGAATCTTAGATACTATGTTTGTCAGGCTGATTCCCCTGTGGTTATCACAAGAGGACTTCTCGCCTTTCTTGAAGACTGGAATAATCAGTGATTCAGACCAGTCAGAGGAGATCGTATTTGATTCCCGTATACTGGTTAACACTTCCGTCAACACGATTAAGAGCACCCTACCACCACCCATGGATACCTCAGGAGTTAGTCCGTCTGGTCCTGCCGCGCTTGCTAGCTTCAAGTTACCTACTGCTTCCTCGACTTCTGCAAGTGTTGGGGAGTCGATCTCAATGTTCCATTCAGGGTTCGACTGGATAGTGGGCAACGCATTAGTGGCAGGAGGCCAGTTAAACTGTTCCTCGAAGTGTTCTCCCATCGTTCCAGTCGTCCCCTCTGCGAGTGAGTCGCAGAACCGTCCTTCTCCGCTATAGTCTTACTAACCGCTGTTGACCTTTTCCCCCAGTTTCCTTAAAAAGTCTAAATAACTGTTTACTGTTACCAACCGCCGCTGCCTTTTCCATCTCTTTAGCCTTCGCTGCCCACCACTCTTCGTGGTCGTTGCGTAGGCTTTTTCTCAATCTACTTTTACGTCGCGCTCGCTCTTCATTATACTCCGAGTCTATAGGGATGCGTTCACGTGCGTCCATTAGTTCGGAAGAAGCTGCTGATATCCACCGACTCTTGTAAGCTACTCCTTCGGAGTCGGATACGGTCTTCAGCGCTGCTTTTACGGCAGACGAGATGGTACCAAGCTTCCTCTGGATGAGTGATAGTCTTTTGTTCCAACAACTGCCTAGCCAACCCCTCATTGAACACGGCTTTAGTGTTCTCGTTGTCCGGCAGCATTCGTAGTGGCTTTGTTGCTTAATTATTCTTACGTCCATTGAGACGCAGGCATATACACGCTCGGACCAACGCATGGTCACCATCCAAACACGTGGACTAGAAGGAGCGGCAGTCTTCCACTGATCCTCTCCAGCAATGACTGATAGCGATGTGGTCTATCTGTGTCCGTCGCTGAGTTGAGCTCGGTAGACGCCACGTCATACAGTGTCTGAAATTTGTGCTAGCTACAAATAAGTGGTCATCTGAGCACAGTTGTAGTAGGCGATCACCGTTATCTGTACGTTCAGCTGGGATTCCGAAAGTGTCAATCAAGTGCCTTTCTGCCAACACCACAGCTACTTTCGTGGCATCCAAAGCACACCGTTCAGCCCTCCTGAGCTCAGAATGTTGCGAACTGATCCCAATCACATGCTCAAATATGGTGGTGGCAAAGGGTGGGACACTTGTAGGGCATTTTTGTCGAAAATAATTCTTAAATCAGCAGCGACTAACTGAGTTCGGTGTATAATAACCGAAGAATTAACGCACAACAACGTGAAACTGCCATCAGATACCTTGCATAGTCAAAAGGATCACACTTAATAACCGGCAGAACGTACTTTCAGTGCCCGCCTAGAAAAAGATAATAATAACGTTTTCCATACGACTAATGCTACATCATACTTCGGTTGGAAATTATGGTTCTTGATAAGATAAGTGAGTCTCTATGGGCCACAGTACACCACAGGAATGCTACAGCACTGAGGGATATGTTTACAGAGCGCCTGGTACCCTTAACACTCATAAGATTCCACTGACTACGGCTCCAGAACATGCATCCAATCAACCACACAGTCATAAGATCATATGAGGTGACTTTAACCTACCTGAAGTTAGGTGGGATTCACTTACTGGTCCGACTAGGCGTGACGACTTTTTCCACACATTGTCT